CATTTTTTTTTTTTTTTTTTTTATAACATCAAATTAAAAATTAAAAATTCTACCTGTTTCTTTTTTAAATTTATCACTTTAAGATTACAGAGATTGAAATTATTATTTTAACATTTCGTAACCCGAGAAAAATATTCAATTAAGTTTAATTTCGAATGATCAAAGTTTTGTGCCTAATGCTTAAAGTATACGCGAGTGAAATTGTTTTAAAAAATTATCATTGTATTTTTTCAATCTTGTACAATTTTATAATAATTGTGGTAAGGAAATAAACACATCGAATAATATAACAGCAAGGCTAATTAAATACAGCACATCAAATGATAGATAGAAAAGCTTGAACAACTTGCATCGGAATAAGTAGAAAAAAATGCATATTACATGAACAGAGGTAGCGCATACTCTGTCAATGACAGTCGGAATAAATTTTTTTTCTTCAAATTATGACAGTTAAAAGCTACTTCAAGTGTCTGTCATCTTGCTTGATGCAGTGGGAAAATAAAGGAAAATCATCGTGTATAAATGGAATACCAAGATGTTAGTTGTTACTTAGCTTATCGAAACCTTTTTACGAGGTTTTAAATAATCAACTGATTTTTAATCAAATTAAAGAAATCGACTTTAATTAGATATTAAAATGCTATCGTTTACTTGTATCTACTTTAATTTATATTTAATTTTTAATTGTACAATAAATTTTACAATTAGATTTTCATCAAATGAAAACAAAGTTAGCTATTGTATGCTCTTAGTTTCTTGCGTATTTATGAACGAATACTTATTAAGCCTCGTTCGTAGTCGACGATGGTGTTGATAAAATAAAAATCTGAAATACGAAAATTTTTCCATAACACATCGTCATATTAGTTTACTCGTTTCATTGCAAGGCATAACATTCAACTGTTAAAAGCATATGTATACAAAATTTAGTTTTAATTTGCAAAGATCTAATTGTCAAAAGAATGAAAAATTTTACTTCTAAGGAATTAAATTTCTCCTGTTAATTTAAGTCGATTCAATAAAACAATTGTTTTAGTTGATAATTGAAGTCGATCTATTTATAAAATTAAAGTATGAATGTTTAATTGTTGATTGGGAAATTAGAAATTAAACAACGCTGCCTGTCCATTAGCCAGTAATCTTTCAACAGCTGCGTTGATATCTCCAAACGTGGCAATCAATGCTGAAAATAAATAAAATATCGTAAGATGGTAAGAACGATAAATCATCTCTAATCAATAGTATTATTGTTTACCTTGTAAATTTGCATCCCTATTAACAAATCCCATTGCTGTTAACTGTTCCAATTGCGCTCTGTATCGTTCTTCAGGTGGCGGAAGTTGACCATCAACTCCTTCTACTCCTTGATTTAAAGCCATAGCCGAAAGCTGAAGTACAAACGTTGACTTGTAATATTTTTATCTTAAATTGAAATTATTGTAGGTACATTTGTGATCAAATAATCAATTTACCATTCGCGTCATAAACTGAGAGAACACATCATTTTGATTTGACGATTCAGTAGGCGTTTGCTGCCCAGCTGGTGAACTGGAATTTGTGGTGGTAGTTGCGTTTGGTGTACTTACAGGACTAGGAGGAACAGTCAAACCTAGGCTATAAATAGATAAGTAGATAAAATTAATTAAAATTACTTAGTGGTCGTCATGATTAGTAGGGTTCACTTACTTTCCAACAAGTTCCGGGGCAACGTTCCGGAGTTGCTCCATACCTTGCTGAATTTGCATTAAGGCTGACATGGCGTCGGGGTTGGTGATAATATTTTGCATTTGAGGATTTTGCATCTGTTCAATAAGCCTAGGCATCATGGCTGTCATTTGCTGTTGCATCTGTGGATTGTTCCTTAAAAATGGATTTGCGGATATTATTCTGTTGGCCATTGCTGGATCTGAGGCCATGGTTTCCAGAACGGTACGTGTGTATGGAGCGTTTAGCATGTTACGCATGAGTGTTGGATTTTCCATCATCTGGGAAACAAGACTCTGCATTCCTGGTGTATCCATGAGTCCTCTACCAATGCCTGCGCCAGTAGTGCCCGTTCCAGTTGTACCTGTGTTTGCACCTCCGTCTGCATCTGTGCCTGTACCGGTCGTTCCCGTGGATGATGGATCAGTTTGCCCTGAATTCCAGGGATTCGGTAGAGGATCTCTGTTTTCTTGACCTTGCTGTGGATTCGGGGCTTCTGCAGCGTTGTCATTATTTTCTACTAAGGCAGCAAAAGGGTTTCTATCGTTAGCCGCTGCAGCTAACATTGGCTCTTGAATGTCTCTGTACATGCGCCTGAGTGCACTGTAACCTCCTGGAATGCTCTCCAGATTAGATAGCGCCCGATCATGTGAACGCATTAACTCTTGCAACATTGATGGATTCCGAGCTAATTCCATAGTTTGCCTGTAAACGTCAAGCAATAAATCAACATTTTAATTTCTCATGAGCTCAAATCAAACAATAACGATTTCGTTTAAAATCAGATTTACCTAAGAAGATCTGGATTATTTAACATGTGACTAATTTCTGGATTGCGTTGCATCAACTCTTGCATTTGAGGGTTTGCCAGGAATAAACTTCGCATACTTTCAGTATCACTCATTAAACTCTGCACCAAAGGATTGTCGAAAACTTGTCTCAAAGCGTCGCGATTTGTAAATAATTCCCTTTGCATCCTCTGCTGAATTTCCGCGAAATTTCCAGAGCCCAATCCAAGATTTTCCAAGCCTGGCAATCCACCCAAGCTACCAAGTCCAAACGGCGATGCATGTATATCAGCTGCTCAAACGGTTGATACATCAGTGTCATTACAAAAGTCAATCAAATTGAGTTGAACAAACAAGAGATAAGTAAGTGGTGATTCAAAAGCTTGCATACCTGCTGGAGTGGATCTCTGAGGCGTGCTGTCTTGATTATTTGGAGTTGCTGCATTCCTCGGCGTCTTAATCACCAAATGCACCGTCAGACCGTCTTTGAGATTGTGATTTGTCAGGTTCTCATGATCCTTCATAATTTTTCCAGCAAATATCAAACACACCTGTTCCGGCTGTGTATCAAACTTCTTGGCAACCACTTCTTTGAACTGAAAGTGATGGAGATGATAAGTAAGTGGGCAACGAAGCAGAATTAAGCTATTAATTGACCAATACAAGTATTTAAAATTTTTAAAAAAGCCACAAGAAAGGTAAGCTCATTATGTGCATACACATGTAAATACATTGTAAGTTAATAATGAACAATAAGCATACAAGCATGTATGAACGGGTGACACAAATGCGCGCAATGTTGGCTAAGCAGCAGTGGAGAGCATCGGGGACGAGAACGATAGAGCGTGGTGACGGGGATACCAAGTGTAAAAAAAAAACGAAACAACATACGCAATGAAACAAAATGATGCTAATGTATGCAGCACATCAGGAAAAAGCCCGGAATGAGGCTGATATGTGTGGCTCGAGGGGGAGCATGTTTCTAATTAAGTACGTCAGGTAGTAAACACGCGCGCTAGTGTATGTATAAACGTGATCGAGAGCCAGACTTACGTCCTTAATGGAGGCATCCTCCTCGATCTCAACAGTCTGCTTATCCTTGGGTGTTTTTATGGTGATGGTGATTTTCTTGCGGCTCTCCTCTTGGGCCTCTGCCATCTTGATCGCGGTGGTAGCGGTGGCGGCGACGAGGCAACGGCTACTGGGCTGCTGCTGCAACTAACTTCTATACGTTTGATGATGACTCGCTTAATTCTCTTCCTTATTTTCGCGACACGGTACTTTATTACCTATTCCTCTTCGCGGAAATAACGCAGAGGCGCCCCTGACTGCGGCTCTCGATCGCCGCAGTTGTTGCAGCTTGCAACGACGTCCACGTCGTCGTCGAGGTTATACAGACAGACAGACGGGCCACCTTATGTAGACCGTACACACCACTGTCTCAATGTCTCGATTCTTCCAGGCCCGGACCGGACTAACTCTATATACACACGTATACGATAATACACTATACATTCATACCTCTACGTTGCACGGTTGCAAGGAAGTTAAAATGAACACAGAGACACAGATGGGCGCACAGCCGCACAGCCGCACGCACACGCCCGCCACTCGTGTGCGCTGCAGCAGCGTCTATCCCCTCCTCTTCACTCTCTAAATGACACATAACACTTATGTGTTTCACATCAACTGGCAGTATTCAATTTTTTCATTCTTTTCCACCCCGATAATGTTAATAATTTACCTGTTTTCCAAAAAGTTTTATTTTTGGTACTTTTAGTTAGTAGGTAAAGAAGCCTATAAAATATTAACAACTTTTCTACCACCAGTTGATAAGTGACTCGTCCAAGTCCATTAGTTTAATGATTTCGTCATACCTTTTCATTGATTTATTGATCAACATTATTTTCTTATGGATATATAAATGCGTAGATACAACGTCAGACAATTTGATAAAAACCCAAAAACTTTATTAATCAATTAAACAAAATTAATTTTTTTTTAAACCACTAATTAGATGCAAATAGTTTTGGCTGTTAAACGCAAAAATGCATGCGTACTTTGGATCGAATTATTTATCTTCCAGGGTTTCCAACCCCTTGGTCACCAGATTAAGCCTATCTTGACTTTATGGTGTAGCTTCTAATCGAGTTTTTTTTTTTTTTTTTTTTTAATTTGTTAACTCGACGGAACTTCGGATATCAGTACTTTTGTATGTTCTTTTTCCTTCAACCATGGCTCTTGATAGATAGTTTCCATTTGGCATGAAAAGCACCAATGTGTTCGAAATTTACACCTGTAAATTAATATTAATGTATGGTATGTTTGTACGGAATACGACGTGTATTAAAAATATCTTATCCTTCATTTGATAATCTTTTTTTCCATACCAGCACTTTTAGCTAGAGCATCTGGACTGAAAGTAAACGTCTTTTTGTCGTCAATTCCTGTTAGTAATGTAACAACTGGAATTTCAGTGCCGCCACTTTGGCTCTGTTGAGTGAGGTAATGACAACACTCAACTATGTGAAAGTAAAGCCAAGCTTCTTTGTCTTTAGGCTTAGGGCCTTTGATAAATGGTAATGGCAATTTTTCGTGAGGTCTTTGCGCTCTTAAAAATCGTGATCCACGTTGCAATTGAGTTTCTAGCCACCTGGTTGCTTCTCTGGCATGACTGCTCATTCTTTTCATTTCATCCAGTGCAGAAATCACTAAAAAAAATCTTTATATTTTTTTTTGAGGCTAATAAAATAAAATACTAAAGTAAATTGCTTACCAATTGATGGAACGACAACAATAAACTTTTTAGCGTAAACCAAATGCTTTATAACGGGCATAAATCTTGAAAAAGCTTCATGATCAGGAACCAAGTATGGCGACATTAATCTGTGATACAAGCGATTTTCTAAAGCGTGAACTTCTGCTTTAAGCCATAATTTACCCATGTGCCTCATCATTTTTCCCTTAGAATGATCCAATTCTAATTCCAAATTCTTGGCATCACTTTGATTTTCCTTAGCTTTTGGACTGTCCAGTTTGGATTCAATAAATAAACCCTTATTGCTGTCAAAAATAATTCCTGATTCTTGAATCGAGCTTAAATAGTGACCAAACTTTACTATTTTTAGAGCTCTTAACAATGTTTCTTCGGTATTTGTAATTTTTTTCCTTCTCACTACATCCCAGTCGATACCTTTGTGAGTGTCTTCAAAAAATTTAAGACCTCTCAAATCAATGTCTTCCGGTAAAGGAGTTATATCAGCTACTTCCTTGACTTTCGCCATACACGAGAATATCTCCAAGTCTTGGTCCCATTTGTTCAAAAGCTCCTGACTATCGAGGTTTATTAAATTGAACAGCGTAATTAATCGTTCCAATAAGGACTTCGAGCCTCTAGCACAAGTTTTTATAATATTTTGATTCCCTTGCAACCAGTCACAACAAACTTTGATGGATACTAACATTTTTTCTTCAGCTAAAACTTGTAAAACTTTAATGAGATCCAACTTTTGTTTTTCTTTTTGCGCAACACATGCAAGTGTTTTGTTTGCCACAGTGTTATTTTCGTCATAGGAATTATTAAAGTTCGTTAAATTGTTAGAATTTTTCAAATTTGATTCGTTAATTCCACATTTGTTTTCATCATCTTTATCATTTTCATTTTCATTTTCTTGAACAAACTTTTCCTCTATGACAGCTTTTCCATTGATATTATCCTCGTCTTTGGTGTCTTTCTTATTTAAAGACGCCTCATCTTCTGAAACATCTTCAGACATCACCTCGTCTTCGGATAAAGCATTATCGTCACTAATAACATCTTCTTCATTTTCCGTGATGTCGGAATTCAAATCTTCACTAGATGATCCAGCCGCCATTCCTTCTCCATCACTAGCATCAGAATCCGAACTGTTCCTGCGAATTCGCGGTCTTCGCAGTTTTGTCAGAAGATTCTTTGATTTCTTCTTTTTGTAGTTGCCATTTACTTCGAATTTTCCATTATTTTCTTTAGGAGTCTTAGGATCACAATCAAGTGAGTTTTTGAATTCTATACTCTTTTCGTTATCAGTTTTTTCGGTATTTTCAATAGTATTTTCATTTTCAATGATTTCTTTGGCATTATCTGTTCCATTGCATTCAACTTCTGCAATGGACATGTCTAAAAGAGATTCTTGTAATCTTATTGTAACAAACTGCAATAATTGGGAAAATACTGCTAAAAGCAAAGCAATAACTCCATGAACTTCAGTCGGAGTCTTTTGTTGTAATTTAAATATTTTCATTAAACAAATGACAATCACTTTGAACATCATATCGTCATTTAAATAGTTAGTTTCTTCAACTTTGTAATGTGATAAGTATTTCTCAATACTGTCCTCATTTTCTGCAGCTTCATGATTAGTATTTTTGCATTTCTCGACATTCAAACAGTTTTCTATATCGCGTAAGAGTATCTAAAGAAGTAAACAAAATTAAGAAAATATTAAACTTGTATGTTTATTGGATTGAATTTCAAAATAAAATAACTTGCCTGTGATTCCTCATTTATCTTATCAATATTTGTTGAACTATTATCCCACAACTGCAGCAATAACAGTAACCTTGCTACACAAGAGTGTGTTGAACATTTTTCTTTGCCATTTAAAGAATGAACTATAATTGTCCTTTTTAAATTACCTTCTGCTAACTCAAATGGTTCAGCACATAAAAGACTACAAGTACGTTTAAAATTAAGTTTGACTTTTATTTTTTCACAACATTTATATAATTTACAGCAAAAATTAATTACCTTCTCATGTAATAGTATACAGCATCAAGGCCGTAATTTTTATTACTAGCAACAGTACCCAACTGATTGTGTGGCATTCCATATTTCGTGTTGAGAACAATTGCCATTTTATAATATCTCGTTGCTATCTGAGGGTCCCAACTAGGATCAAGATCCAATCTGTAACGTGCCAAGTCTCCAAGACAAATCAAACTCCTGTGAATGAAATGAGAGACGCATTTTTTTGCATCAGTAGAGTGTACCTTTTTGGAACTCAGACTTTTTTCCATCTAAAACAATCACTTTTGATAAATTTACTTCAACTTTATAAATTAAGTATAAGTGTAATATAAGACAGCGATTTACTTGAATTAACCCTTTTTTACTAGGGTATGCGAAATCTATGATGCTTGTCAATTCCAATTCAAATTCTAACTGCAAGCGCAAAATCAAATGATGGTAAAATCCCACTCCAACCGAAAGATGTGCTGATAAAAAGGCTTTCTCCGTTTCATTCCATACATTTTCCTGTTATTATTAAAAAATAAATGAATTTCTATCCATTTTAAATCAAATGTTATACTCAACAAAAAACGGATCAACAAACTTTGCGCAATTTTTTTGCGATCGACACAATGTCATAAAAACCTCTTCTCCAAAGAAGCTCTTCTGTTTTTTGGACATGGTTGACAGGATCGTCGATTATTAATCTTTCGCAATAATCTCTCAATTTGGATCTCAAAGCTTCCCCGGATGGTGTAAAAACATCAATAACAGTCAATGCTCTACTTTTCTGTTCTTCCAACTTTTTGGCAATCTCAGTTATATTTCTGTAGCAAAAATGACAATGAAATCTTACTTACATGCAGGAAAACAATTTTATTTTGCAACAATGAAACAGAAAATTCATAAGATATCTGTTAAGGTTAAGTCTGTTGATCTCTCAGTGACATCAAGGTAAAACGTATAAAAGTTTTAGGGTTTAAATTTATAGTCACAAAGGGCCTTTTAAAAATATCATAACAATAAGGAAAAAAAAAATAAAGTAGGAAAATAAGTACTTAAGAATGCGAAACAAACCTGTACAAGCGTCTGGTAGTCTCGAGGCCATCGCCTGACCTGATGTCCGCACCGATATTATAAATCTTTTTCATCTTGCTTCAATCATTTTATAGTTATTTTGCAACTTCCAACTATCATCTATCCTTTATCATATTTTTTTTCGCTCGCCGAACCACACCACACCAGATGCGATTGTTTTTCGACTCCACTTTTTCTGCTACTTTTTCGGAGTACGGCATCGACGAAAACACCGAGACGAGACGTCCAACCGAGCCCCACGTAAAAGCCTGCACAAATTGAAGCCACAACGAGCAAATATATATATGTGTCCTGTTTGGAGAGATTCCAAATTTTTGGATTGTTCCGTTGTTCCGGAACTTCCTAACAGCTGATACCTTCATATTAGTTGGCAATTTGGCCACTTGTTGAATTTTCTACAGCCTTGCGGCGCTAGTTATATCCTCAATGACACTAAAATGACATCTACTCTGCTTGTGTATGACAGCGGAACACAGCTATTCGGAACATCACTTCTCTCAATACATTTTTGCAAATGGCAATTTCAACGATTTAAAAATACCTATACTTATTTCGATGAGCTTTTTTTTCTCAATCCAGATCAAAGAATCATTAATGAATTAAATTTTTATTTTTGGATGATGAGCACTTTAAGTAGGCCCGATATACCACAAATATTGTAATAATAATAATTATCGAGTTTCAAAGAATTTTATCGAAAAGGGAGTGTACTGTGAAGTGTGAAGTATGGATGCACGTAAATTTGCCAAGTACAAAATTACCAAATGCTTACGAGCTTAAAATACTTGTAAGTATAAGTAATGTAAAAGGAAATCAGATCAAAGAGTGAAAAAATAGTTTAGATCGAGAGTACCGCAGTTTAAAAAAAATATATATGAGGATATGAGTATATAATGGAATTCCTCATACGCATCTCTCGATTCTTTAAACTATTTTCCGCACAAATTGACACAAGAAATTTTAATTTATTTTAATTAAATAGTGTTGCACACGTTCCGTAATTTGGATGCCAGAATTAAATGCGTCGCACACACGAATCAGCTGATGATTTTTCCCTTTAACAGAAGTTCGCATTCAATCAGTTAGGGGGCACACTTGTACACACACACACGGAGACTGCGACGGCTGCGTTCCGCAAATACTGTCAGTTAGAATAGGCCTAATGTCATTCATAAGTGCGACAGAGATAGCATGACATGGTGTCTCTCTTGCACTCACACAATGTTTACGGGCTTACCTCAACTGACAGCGTTTGCGGAACACAAGTCAAAGAGTGAAGTTTTAGCCACCCCAATAAACAAACCCGTCGTTCTGTTTTCTAATACTTACTTATATGTGAAAGATAGGCATATTGACAGGTGCATATATGTAAAGTACATTTTGCAGAAGCGCGCTTCGAATAGTTGTCGCTCAAAGTTCCATAACAACAAGAAAAATGGGTAGCATTGACAAAGCTGTTATCACGGGCTTCATATGCAGGCTCTGCTCCAAAATGAATCGATTCGTGATCCATATCTACGGCGAGGAGGGCGAAAGGATGAAACTTGCTGAGAAAATCAACACTTATCTTCCTATAACTGTAAGAACTAACTGCTACTATTTCCGCTCCCTTTTTTCCCTTTTGCTACCTTTTCTCTTCTTTCAACTATCGCCTATTTTTTTTTTTTTACCTTAAAATTTTCTCCATTATCGATTCCATGGATTTAATTTACATAAATTATTTGTTTATCAATGTACTTCAAAGTATGATGTAGTTTTAATATCAAAATAAACTCCTGGAGTACTTTACCCAGGATCCTTGAGTTACAACTAAATTTTATTCGTTTTAACAATGGACGTTGTAGGTGAATGCCAATGATCAGTTGCCAAAAACTGCATGTCTTCACTGCATTGAGAAATTAGAAGCACATCACGAATTGATGGAGCAGTTTATGTGTGCCAGGCGAAAACTCAACAACGAAAACAAATCAACCTCCAACACATCTATGTCCATTAGTTCAACGAGTGGATCAGTCAGTCCCCCCTGACTGTCTTCATGTTGATAGAGTCAGTTGCTAGGACTTTGATGGAGTGAAGTGTGTTTGATAGTTATTAATCATTAGGTTAAGTCATATTTCATCAACATTAATATATTAAAAATGCCGATAAGATTTACGTGAAACCAATCTATTGGTACAACATGTTGTTATAATATTATATTGCAAAAAATTGTTTATTGCTTCATTTCGCATTTTTTAATTATGGAATTACGCTGTTTATTCAGAGATAAAAATTTTTTGATTAACAGATTTATCAAACCCAACTATACAATACATTTTATCGCAAATTGATTTTTTTTGAAAATTTTATTTACTGCAGCATATGGGGTATTACATTTTTTTTTTTTTTAAGTTTAACTTCAAACTTGATTTAGTTTAAAATGAAGTGTTTTGACAAATTAATCATCAGTATATATTCATTTAGATGGTCTTTATTTGCTATAAGTATTTTGTAAAAAAAGAATGATTCTCATTGTACAAGGATAAAAGCAAGTCAAGTCATTAAAACATCGCGTAATAATTACGGTGGCGATGTAGTTTTGAGATAAGGAATATTTCTTTATCATGTACCTATATGTGAACAACAACAATCTATTAATATAAATACTAATAATAATGAGTCTTTGTATGTTTAAAAGATTTATATGAATTATGAACAAATATTTAAAAAATGATATAATTTATTATATAAAACTTTGGCGATCTTTTTGCCAGAAAATTGTATAAATAAACATGAGTTATTAATAGTTTTATTTAACTTATTTTATTAACACACCCATCATTGCACGAGTATATAGGTTGAAGAAGAACGTATCGAGGTTTAATTGTATAAGATTTTATTTACTAACACATATTTTATAGCCCTATTTTATTTTCTTATTTTATATTTATTCATGTACATTTTGCAGGTAAAATAAATGTTGCACTAATTAGAAATTGAGGATTATGAATTATCCTAAACAAATTTGATGACATAAATACTGTACATTGTTTTTTAAACAAAAATCAAATGAGTTAAGGTGACTGCACTATTAGTTGTATTGATGTCTATTGTCTGTATTTACAAAATTAAATTCTTATTTTTAATTCTTATGGTATTTTATAGCATCAAAACGGATTTTATTTTGAAATGCAGAAAAAATTAATTTGTGTGTAAATACTGATTGGAGCATAAAATTTACATTTTACTTTGTTTAAACAATGTTTCGGATATCAAGAAAAGCTACAAGTATAAATGTGAGAATCATACAATTTGCACATATATACACGAATATAGTAGGTCTAAGTAATCCTGGAGGTAGTGAACTCATAAAGACACTGCATCAAAGTTTATTAAATAGTCACTGGCCCCTTCAAAAAATATAGTATATAAAATTTAATTTATTTTTACAGTGTTTGAGAATCACATAAATATTTGTTATTTGTATATACATACACGTATACATTTAATATTTAGTTATTGACAAATATACTATTTAACATAAAAAGCCCGTTAAAAACCACGAAGAATTAAAACTATACTGCTAGAATTCATCGATTTAGAAATGTAAGAAAAGATAATAAACATTTACCAGTCAGAGATACGTATTTTGTCGCATTTATATAGCCACGATAGTTTGTACAATTAATTTACAGTTTGAGATTTATACTTTGAATTTTTCATTGCCTAACGAAATCATTTGGTTTGATAAAAAAAAATGTGCTTGCCGAAGTATAAAAATTAATTTTTTAATCAAATTTTCAAATAAGCAAACGTAAAATAAAACAGCATTCAAATGTTTGACAAAAATCGCTTGATGATCGTCATACGACGTTTTTTTCACGTTTATTAACGTCTTAATAGTTTTATAAAAAAGAATAGCTGTAGGAGTAACTAATAAAAGTGATAACGTGATTCTTATTATAGACATGATTACCCACGTTATCGTCGTTAAATCTTCAGGAATTGTCATAATGTCTCACGCGCACACAGGCTGTAGCTTTATAATTTTCGTTCTCATCAAACAGCTGACATTGCTCTTTCGAGCGCTCTTTGCTCTAAAACAACCAAGGGACGTCATTGTTATTTATCGTCATTTGATTTTTATGAAAAAAAACCATCATTTTTTTTCCCTACGTTTACCTTCTCTTCGTTTTCGTTTCATTTTCTTCATGCATTTTTCGTATTTAGCCAAGTTGGCTTGCTCCTCTGCGTAAATTTTTCTTGCCTCACTAATTTTTTTATTCAAAATTTCTATCCTCTCATCAGAACTCCAACCTGGATCTGTAAACACGATCGTTTATATTTTATTCATCGATAATTTACAAGTTGCGCTCAACAAATGAAAATAACTTACCTAATTCCGGAAGCAGTTTGTATTTGGACTTTGGTGTGTAACTCCAATTCCAGCTTTGACAGCCGATATTCGGTATCGCATGTATAACAGCAGATGCAGCAACGGGTGGATTCATCGTAGAAGAAATCGCACCTCCGTTGGTCATTGCTCCTCCTGCCATATTACTAGAGTGCAGCGTCATTGTTGTATTACTATTCACATACATAGAGCTCAGACTTTCGTTTTGATCGTCGTCGCTGTCGCTACCGTGTCTAGCGTTGCGCAAGCTGCTCTGTCTAGGTGACTTTTTACCCGATGCCATTGAATTTCCTGGTCCTGTATAAGACAGCATGCCACTGCTCATGTCCTGATCTTTTCTCTTCTTTCGTTTTTTGGGCGAAGTCGCACCATCGTTGTCATTAACTATCCGCTTGGGAGGTGTTTTCGTAACGCGTTCGGAGGACGAGGTCGAGGCAATCGCGTTACCACGCATTTCAGGATTGACAATTGCCGAGGATCGGCTACTACCTCCACCACTTGGTTTACTATTGATTCCATCGTTCTCGGCCTCGGAGCTGTCTCGATGCATCTTGCTGGAGTTGTCTTCGGAGGACGAAAGCATCGATCCCCCAGTTCTCTCGTTGCGCGGTGAATTCGACATATTGGAAGTGCTAGAATCCGGAGTCGTTGGCGGAGTATTTTCCATTGCAGGGTTTGTTTCGTTGCTCTCTCTACGCTGTTGTAATGCCATTGAAACTTGATTACTTGGCTGATGTTGCTGTTGTTGTTGTTGTTGCTGCTGCTGCAAATTGTGGTGTGGATGATGCGACTGGTGCATCTGTGGTGGCATCGACTGTTGCGGTGGTTGCAATTGCGGCTGAATTAGCGTCTGACGTATAGACTGAAGGTTCAAATGTTGAATGGACATGGGAACTGGAACAATGTGCCTCGAATTCTGCGGTACTGGCATACCCCCACTCATTGTTGTCACTAGGGTGCAGTTCGATAGTTGAGTAGGGGGTGGAACCGTACTCAATGGTAACTGAGCAGCAACGAAAGCAACGGCAACTTTGCTTCCAATATCACTCTTGGCCAGGTTCTGCATAGTTGCCGACCGTTGCTCCTGCTCAACTGCCTCGCCACCCGGTGTAGGCGATCCAGGAATTTCCTCTTCGCACAGCAAAGAGTTGAGATTTTCACCGTCTTCCTCGGTTTTTGTACTCTTACCTTGTATAACGGAATTGCCAATAATACCAATGACTTGTTGCTGAGGTGCTTCGATATTACAAATTACATTTTTTATTTCTTGTTGCAACGACATATTGTTAAATTGATTTATGGGAGCTGATATCACAGTCGCCTTTGTTCTCATGGTATCGGGACCAGACTCATTACCTTTATCGTCCGTAAAGTCTTCATTGTCGATAATCGTCAGTCGTCTCTCAGAATCACTACTGTCAGTTGAGTCCATGGAATCACGGTCGATGGTGGATTTTATTTTGTTCACAATTGCCTCTTTGCGCGCAGAAGAGTAATCCTTTGTAGATTCGATGGTTGACGAACTGCTAGAGACCCCTTCGTTGCTCGCTATGCTTGAGGCAACCATAGCTGCAGCTTTCTTCCAGACCTCTTCTGGCTTACGGAGAGGTTCTTTCCTCTGATTTCCATATGTTTTCGTGATTATAGGTATTACTGACGTTAGGCTAGTTTTGGGTTCGAAATCTTTTTTAATCTTGAGCAAATCGTCGTCCTTTGTCTTTATAACTTCCAACAGAGGATCTTTTCGCACCTCGATCTCAGTAAGAGGGTCTTTGTTGACAACTACCTGTTCCATGTTAGTCTGCTGCTTCTTTTTCTCTGGTGGTTCGTATTTAACTTTACTCTCTTCCTTCTCCTTCTGGGCCTTTTTCGCGGATAACGTATCAGTTTTTTTCATAACGTCTTTGAACGACTTCCTAGGTAAAATTTCTGCATCGTCGTCCCTTTTCGCGTCCTTCATCTTACTTCGGAATACCGCAGCTGCAGACAATTTTTCTTCGATACTCGCTGTCGCTGGCAATCGGGCGCTAAGCGGTGCTGGCACTGTTAACAATTGTGGAACGATTGGTGTAAAATCCAAAGACTTTATTTCTGTTTTGGTTTCCGTTTTCATCGGCGTGTTTACGTCGCCAACTCGCTTTTTTTCTACCACTGAAGGGCCTTGTTTGCTGTCAGTTCCTGAGGATGTCGTTATAGGTGCCGTTGGCTCCACAAGTTTAGATTTGCCATCGTCTTTGGAAACGTTAGATTGGACACTACTAGAAAGTACAAACGCCTTAGGTGGCTCCGTCACTTGTGCGTCTGCTTTAGGAACAGCGTGCTTATCTTGTGCACTTTCTATTTCTGTGGCCAAAGATCCCGCCTTACCCTTGGGACCGGAGTAATGGGAAACGTACTTAACGTGGTCACGTACTGGCTCCTCCGATTCGTCACTTTCGTTGCCAACGCTGTCAGCATCTCCCAACTTTTTATTAGTAACTTTTCGGACGACTCTCTTTTTAGCATCAGGCGTTTCCGCAAAATTCGCGTCGATTTTGGTCGCTACAGTCCCTACGATCTTTTGCCTTTTTTTCACACCCTTTACCGAATCATCCTCAACGGGTCTCTTGGGATTTACACTCTCATCCGTATTATCAGTCTCGACTGAAGCTTTGTTCGCAAGTACGTCCTTGCGAGGCGCTTTTGTGCCGCTCAAGTTCGGGAAGAACTTTGCGAGTTCTTTGTTAGAGTCATCTTCTTCGTCGTTATCACCTGCGTCATCGGGTATTTTTCCAAAGACCTTGCGGGCTTTCTTTTTGGCTTCAGCACTGTCCATAGGGGAAATTTCGCGCTTGATCTCATTAGCTTTGGTTACAGCAGCAGCAGCAGCAGCGGCGCTACCAAACGTCTTTGGCTGTCGTTTTTTCGGATTTTTGACACTGTCATCCCCTGTTGCAACTCTTTCGATTATGCTATCGGCCGCAGAAGTACTTTCATCAGTCGAGTTTTCGTCAGGACGCGTGGCATTTGCAGTAAAGTTTCCTTTTCGCCTGTAGCCCATCATATTGCTGTAAGTTGCGGAACAGTAAAATTTGGTTGGCTCTCTGAGACTTATAAGTGGGGCTTCTTCGTTTTCAGTCTCAGTAGTTTCTTCCGTTTCGTCGTTCTTTTTGAAAATCTTTCGCACTTTCTTTTTAATATCTGCCGTCTGATCAGCAGGATTATTTTCGATCGGCGACTTTTGCTCAACTTTAGCTGGGCTTGTGTTTGTGGGGTTGAAGGGTGGCTTTGTTCGTTTCTTTGGACTCTTGAGATCTTCTTCAAACGGTCGCTGTTTGCTCTTTGGCTTATCCTTTTCCTTATCTTTTTCTTTATCAGTGGAATTACCGCTGCCTCCCGAATCCCTTTTATTTCGAACTTCAAACTCAAAAGGCTCAGGTTCTTTGAATTCGTAGATGTCTTCCGTGCTATCGGGTTGACTTGGATCTACTTTTGATATTTCACGTTTTACAGGAGTGCCGATCTGCTGCTCTACTTTTGGAATTTCACGCTTTTTTTCTGATTCAAGATCAATCTAAATCACAAAACACGAATATCTCGAATTAGTATTTCACTAGCTATTGTCTTTAAAATAATACGTAAACATTTATCCAACAAACAGGTCCGCTGTCATAACGAATTCGACGTTTTTAAAAAACACGTAGTATCACAGTACTAATATTAAATCGAACAAATTATAAATACGTCACGCTAACTAAAAAGGTTATAAAGAAAATATAAAACACACTAAAATTCGTTCTCTAGCGGATATGTTGGAAAATGTTATCTTATCTAAAACTTTTAAACCGTCATTAGGAGCGAACGATAAGCTAATGAATTTCCATTTACCTTTTTATCCAAAATACTTTCTTGCTCGCTTTTTTCTTGCTTTGTGATGACAGAACTTTCTTGATCTTCGACAACACGTTCAACAGCCGTTATTTCCAATTTAACCGCTTTGTCGAAACCTTTAAGTTCAGATCTAATTTGGTTTAGATCGAAATCTCTACCCTTGGGTTGTTCATCGTCACTCTCTGGCTCCGACTTGATTTCTAGCATTTTTCCAATAGACTTTCTTATTCTCCGTCCACGTCTTGGCTCTTCGATTTCTTTTTCCTCTGTATCGCTCACATCTTCGATTTTCATGCGGCTTTCTGCTCGTCTCCTTGCTTCCCTACGATTTCTCTTCTCCTGGACCCCCCTCACTCGAGACCGCGATGTTATTTGAGTTGAAATACTAGCATCAGACTCAAGCGAGTCTGTCTCATCGCTCTCCGTCTCTTCGGCGGCGATAGTGTCTGTGTGACCCGACGATCGCCTCGGGCGTCGACTCAAATCACTCGAAGACGCGGAATCAGCATTACGTGTCGCACGAGTCGACCGATTGCTTGCTGTCGACGCTGGACTTTTTGTTCGCAAAACGTTTGAAATCAATGGCGACGGCGTCATAGATCGCGTTGTCGGCGTAACTTCTCTCTCATCTTTGCGGGCATCTCTGTTGCATATGCTGGAACCACTTCCAGTTGATGAAGTGTCACCTTGAGCACGACGACGGTTCTGAGATGCGGGTGAAGAACCGGTACCAGCGTTTGGCGCAGTTTTCGATTTTGGTGTGGATGTAGAACTTACACTCGGCGTTTGCGGACGGGGTGTCGTTTTGGAGCGCTTTGATCGACCCTGCGACTGGCTATAATTATGTGCTATCCTTGAACATTTTATCCATTCATCGTACCTATTATTCCAGCCAGTATAATGTACCAATAACAGAGGTTCAGGACCATCCTTTGATATGTCGATGATTTTAGCTTCGTACGTGACTTTCTTTTCGTGCGTTGGTCCATAATACACATTGAGCTTGTCACCTATGTCAACGGGTCCCTTGTAAAGTGGTATAAAGCTCATTGTTTGTTCTTCAGAACTTTTTCCTTTTTCCCCCTCAGCGTCTTTCTTCTTGCGGCCACGTTTTTTTAGCTCATCGTCCGTCATCCTCCTAGGCTTGATTGAAAGCTTTTTATCCGATTCTCTAGATGGTGCTCTTGTTTCTCTAGTTTCGGAACTCGATTTGCTTCCCTTACTCACATCATCTTTCGACCTCGATCTCGTCTTTGTGCTATCATCCTCTTTGCCTTTCTCGTCTTTTTTCTCTAGTTTTTTTGTATCAGTTTTCTTCTTTTCGGCGTTCGGTTTCTTTTTCAGAGTTTCATCTTTGTTTTTAACAGCTACCTTGGATTTACCGCTTACGTTACTCGACGGCGTCAACCTTGAAATACTTCTAAGCGATCTTTCACTACCAGAAGATTCATCATCCACATCGAGATTTGTATCGCTTTCTTGTCCACTAATATCTTCGTCTGCGGGTTCTTCTTTTCTCTTAACTTTTACCTGAAAAAAAAAAAAAAAAAAAAAAAAATTGGTTGATAAGAGTCATGCTGTACATTGTTTTTAGTAATTGTAGAAATTAATAGACTAGTTTAAAAAATAAAGCATACTTGTACTTCCTCCTCTTTCGGTATTATTTCCTTTTTAATTTTTTCTTTTTTTATTTCGTCTTCTGGAATCAGTGCTGGCTTTTTCTCTTCTTCTTCTTCTTTTTCTATCTTAATACTCGGTTGTTCTTGATTCGGAGTTGTCGTTCGATCTCGATCTCTAATCAAACTACGTCCTGGTCGCTGCTTAGCCGTGCGACTTCTTGGATGATTGACCATGGTACAACCCAATTTTCTATAGAAATCTTCAAACGAGTGCAGGTACCTTTTGTACGAATGTTTGACAGCATTACGCGTCGACTGGTTATTTTGCACTTGAAAGCCAAGCCGCTTCGTGATTGATTTCCATTGATTTTGATTTGTCACACGATTATAACCACCAAGCTTGTAAACAGCACGAAATAATTTGTAGAGATCGATATCTTCATTGCCAATCATTGGACACTGGTTGATAGGTGTTCCCCTATCATCCATGAATTTGTATAATGTAGCAACAACATGATCTTTTTCCTCCCGCGGCTCATCGTCTGAGCTCTGAAAATTATTTACATAATTATTACAAGTTATCGTGTATGCGTCAAAATAATATCAATTTTATGGCTGTTCTTGGATGAAACAAATTTTTTAAAGAAATAAACTCACAGGCGATTCATCTCCTTCTTCAGAGTCTGTGTTATCGCTTGTTACTGCATATCCAAATAAGACATCCCTATCCCAATGATTTGGCAATTCGTCTTTGTCTAAATATTGTATTGCTTTTTCTACTGCAGTTTTGAGGATAGAATGTTCCACTTTAGCTACCATATCCTTAGTAAATTGTGTTGTTTCTTTTTTAGGGACTGTGTAACTAACAACAAAACAGTCTGTTGATAAACGAGTAATAAGCAATTAATCGGTTAAGCTATAGATAAAAAATTCAGTACTACTCACAATCTAGAATCTCTGAATGATCTGACGAGAAATTCTTCATGCACGTTAATTTTGTTTGTATCCTGAGCATTGGGTGAAACAATGAGTCCAGGGAACCAGTTGTCCTTTTTCTTTTTATCATTACTCAGTTCGACACAAACGACTTTTCCAATTTCTGGCTCTCTCTCGGGTCCTTCTTTACCTCCTGAACCAGAACCAGAGTCATTACTACCTCTAGCACCATCGTCGTCATCCTCATCACTACTTCCATCTCTGAAAAATGAAATTATAATCGGTTAAATTCTCTAGTGTCAATTTGTTTTGTAAAGAAAAGCCTTTGAAGTGGCTTTCTTACTGATTTTGCCTGCACCTCCTGCCACGCCTGCCAGTAACAGGATAACCAAAGTGTTCCGGATGAGTGAGAGGGAGTTGGTCCAAAGTCTCGCTTTCAGCAAAGTGTCGGCCACTCTTTAAACACAAAGCAGACCTCCTCAGAGTGGTAATGTCACCATCATCAAACACAACCGTGTACTGACTACAGTCTTGAATTTTGTTGATCGTCGCCTCAACAAAGTCTTTTCTGTCATTGTACTTGGCTTCAATAAGGGCTCCAATTCTAATTTGGCCCTTGATTTGATCATCCGTTATAGTAGCTGTGCCCAAGCCTTGCTTGTAAGTCACTCTGCACTTGATACATCGTTGGACTTTTTTAATTTTGGCCTCGCAAAAGGCACCTTTGTACTTGGCACTGACTTCTGTGCCCACTGATAGGTAGGGTGGATCATCCCCCTGCAAAACATTACAAGACATGACTCCTCAATAATAGTGTACGCACTGGTCTCTCTGGCTGGGGAGCTATTTTTACAAAATATACACGGTCAGGGAAACAGCAGGAGCGTCTGTCTAGAGTACACACACCACCGTGAATTACTAATATGTAAGTAGGCACTCGATCCACACTGACAGTACAAGAGTAAAACACTTGGCCATAATGATCAGGTAAGATGTATGAAAGCAGTCTCTGTGTGTTTTTCTATACAAAAAGGAGCATGCTATGCGGCATGGATGTGTTGGGGATGGCAAGGTTTTCACTCAAAAGTGCTCGGTACAAGTATCTGGGCAATTTGGAATTTCCACCTTGAATTTCAACGAGCACCAGAACAAAAATAAAAACACACACATAACACAAAAAAATATATATTATACAGTGTACATATAATATAGAGGCACAGAGAGAATGAGAGAGAGAGGTTCTTGTTTGTTTGTTTGTGCATAAATACAATATCTATCTCTCTGTCTGTCGTTCTCACATCTGCTGTTGTTCCCACGAAGGAAAAGGAGTTGCGTAGAAGAGGACGACGACGTCGACGGGCCACAGCCTGTCGCTGTAGGCTAAGCTGGTGCTTTCTGGTTTGCTTACCGTGACCGACATCTTCCTTCGCTTCCTAGTGCTTGGTAATTCTCCACATAGCTTGCTTCAGCAGCTGTTTGTCTTCTCCAATTCTGAACTGTGGACACTGCATACCAGCAGATGGCCCAACATCGATGCTTTTTTGCTGCTACTTCTGTGGCTTTTTGAGGATAGGTACTAAGTATGCAACAATTCGCAACAGATTTTTTTTCCGTAAATATCACTTTGAATCACCACGTTGGTCGGTCCCTCGCTGCGACGGGAAACGATGAAGACACAAACTGAATTTTTTTTTTTTACATACTGATGATAGTGATGATGCAGAGCGTCTGATGTGCTTGTCCGCCTTTTTCGGAGTTTGGAGCAAGACGCTGAGGCGGTTGATAATTTGATGCGAAATATTTACGTTCTAGCGTAAAATGGTAAAATTGTTCTTTTTTGCGCGTGATGTCCTCTCTTTCTCTCTTTTGTATATTGTGCGTCTGTCCCCCTCCATCACACTTTCACACACATAGACATACAGGTCATACTAGTCCATCAGCACAGTGAACTGTGCGAATTACTTGCATCCAGCAAAAAAAAAAAAAATACCAAAAATTGCGGAATCGTTTGCAGGTTTTGCAATTGCCATGCAAAAAATTGTCAGAGTATTATTTTTTTGTAAAAAAAATAAAATGTAGTACGTCCTGCGAGAATCTAATAAAACTATTATTTCGCCTCAACGGTAGAGTTTCTACTATTAAAATTATCACCAGTCGTTTGCAATTTAATTTCCAGTGCGTGTGAGGATCACAAAGTAGTCGAATTAGTTATATTTATTCAATAAATAATTATATTTATATACGAGAGTAAGTCGAGTAATCTTACTCCCACCCCAGGCCAGGGCGCATGCGCACTGCACTCGAGAAAGACGAAATACCAGCGATGGGATATAGTTCCGGCCAGATTTGGAAATTCTCTAGGACCCAACCTCTCTGACGTGGGAAATCACTAGATCAAAAAAAAATAGTACCGAAGGTGACGCGCGAGATTCAAATAAGGTCCAATAACACGAGCATCCATCACCTGATGACCCAGTGTGCTTACTGGCCACTCTGTTAAATAAATAATTATTAATAACACAAGCGCCTATCACCTGATGACCCGGGGTACTTACTGGCTACTATTGAATAATAAATTATCAAGTAATTACAAGAGCGCCAATTAAAAAGATCTTTGTCGTACTAGATAGGCAATCAAAATTGTGATATGGTTAATATGTTATCGATCAACATTTATTATTTAATAGTGTTGCAAACAAGTGTCCTGGATCATCAGGAAAAAGGTGCTTGACATATTTATGAATAATTATGTATTTACTAGATTTGGAATTAGCGCCTCAGGTTATACGGTGATAGGCGCTTGTGTTATTAATAATTATTTATTTAACAGAGTGGCCAGTAAGCACACTGGGTCATCAGGTGATGGATGCTCGTGTTATTGGACCTTATTTGAATCTCGCGCGTCACCTTCGGTACTATTTTTTTTTGATCTAGTGATTTCCCACGTCAGAGAGGTTGGGTCCTAGAGAATTTCCAAATCTGGCCGGAACTATATCCCATCGCTGGTATTTCGTCTTTCTCGAGTGCAGTGCGCATGCGCCCTGGCCTGGGGTGGGAGTAAGATTACTCGACTTAATCTCGTATATAAATATAATTATTTATTGAATAAATATAACTAATTCGACTACTTTGCGATCCTCACACGCACTGGAAATTAAATTGCAAACGACTGGTGATAATTTTAATAGTAGAAACTTTACCGTTGAGGCGAAATAATAGTTTTATTAGATTCTCGCAGGACGTACTACATTTTATTTTTTTTACAAAAAAATAATACTCTGACAATTTTTTGCATGGCAATTGCAAAACCTGCAAACGATTCCGCAATTTTTGGTATTTTTTTTTTTTTACTGGATGCAAGTCGTTCGCACAGTTCACTGTGCTGAAAAAGAAATAAAAAATGGATGTTGGAGAGAGACAAACTGACGCGACGTTGCCACGTTGCCTGCAGTTTCTGCACATACTCGAGACCCAATAACCCAATCCCCCGTCCCTCTGTACCTTACGAGTAACGAGTAACAAGGTAACGACTAACGTTAACAACTTTTCAAATTCTCGCAAGATATATTTCTACTTAAGAACAATTACCTAAAAATCAAGTTAGAAATAAAATTGAAAATCAGACTTTAGATTTCACGATTTCTTCGTTATTAAGCATATTTTTTAAGATATTTATTTTGATTCATACTTGATTCGTAGTTGAATATTATTCGATTTTCCAAAATGTCGTCAAGGGTCTATAAATGTGTATTCATCAAATCTCAAATAAGTTTTAGTATATTCGATCGTATTTCGTGAAATCAAATAGCAATTACACTTTTTAGCGGGAGAAGTAAAACTCAGCCGATGATTCGGCAACGTCTCATTTTCAACATTTGTGGGGACCCTCTCACACACATGTACACTTCGGCTCTCCGTCCTTCTCCAACCATCCGCTAGGTGTCTAACCATTCATCTGGACCTTCTCGCAAGTACCCGGATTTCATTTTGGTGAATATATGACGGCGTTTAAGGTTGAACCAGGGTATCCCCGGTATCCCCACCGATATAGCTATAGTAATGTATTTCTAAATATTACATCTTTAATTTTATCCTCTTTTGTGTCGATATAAAAACGAATACAAATCTTTAGGTATACTCTCTCATTATAAGAGTTAATTAACAATTTTGAATAATGAAAATAACAATAAGGAAATCAATTTTTTTACCATTTAACAATGTTTTATACATAAAATTCTTAAACGTTGAAATAAATGTATGTTTCGTGTTACAGTCCAAATATAGACATACACAAATGAGAATGTGTACAAAAGTTACAACTGGATGATTCAGCCGGTTGGAAGTTGGAATGAGAATGATTTTGGCTCTCTCTTTCAACTCGAACAAAAAAATTTTTTTGTAATGATGAGGTAAACTAAAGACGTGTTTTTACAATTAATGTTGATTTTAATTAATCAATCACTAAGTTGAAATTGCCGAATCGCTTGATTCAATAACGCATAAGTATATGATAATATATATTCCTGTTTGATTGATATAACGCACGATTTTTGTTCGTTAGCTCCGAATTCCGAAACCAAACATACACTTAAGTATTTCTCCTATTGAAATTTACATCCAAATCATTTCACGAAAACCGCAATATTCCATGAAGTCTATACGTTTAATAAATGTCAGATTAAATTATTTATGCGAATAAGCATTTAAAAGTTTCATTTTCTAGTCAAGCACCTCTGTGCAGTTAAGAACATTGGAATAAAAACGTTTGAAATAGCACGGGACGTTTTTATATTATATGCGAAGCCGATCGAGATCTTTGTCACTTTTGAATTGTCCGAGAGACAATTAAATGATTCAATGCGGCTAGTCGCATACGGACTTACGAAGCGTAAAACAAGCGGTCATTATCGTAAAATGCACCAAAGTAATCTTGATGGTTTTTTGAACTGTATGCGCTTCGTGAGCTGATGAGTCAAATTAAGCTAATTTACTTGCAAAATTCCCATTTGGAACTTCAAAATTGCCACAGACCTGTCGTTCCCGCAAATACTTATAAAATCCCATTTAAATTAACGGGTTTTTGAAAAATGCAAGACAATAGAGCTGGGTCCAATAAAGTTTCCAATTTTGTTTCACCCTTTTTCATAACATGGAAAAAATAATAAAAAAAAAAAAAAAATACTAAACACTGAATTATGAAAATCTCATTTTACTTATGCCCCATATATCTCGCATTTTTTGTGAAATAACCCATCTATATCATGAGAGCTAGAGTGCTCCGAAACTCCGGACTCCGAAAACTCCGAACAGTTTGGCGTAGCGATACTAACGGTGAACCAATTTACTTACCTATTTACCTAAACTTGTAAATCAAAGAGTGCAATAAAAAATATATATATATATATATATATACAAATAACCTCTTTACCAAGTACCTTATCTCTTTTATTTTTATCGATCTTGTGTGAGAAAGATAAAAATTTGCGCACGTGCACTTCATTTTTAAATAACTGCATGAGGTAAGTATAGTAGATATACATATAAGTATATTTCCGCATTGAGCACTTTTTCTCTTTTTTTTGCTTGAGTCGAGATCGAGAGTCGTGTGTAACTACTGCGGCGTACTTAAATGTGTTAAAATTTAATTCACGTTGATTAATAAGACTTGCGACTTGAAATGTCAAATAAGGATGATAAAAAAAAAAAAAAAGTTAGGAATGCCTTGTAAAATGAGTTTTCAAGTCACAATTGTAGAAACAAAAAAAATGTAGTTTTGCTAAGAGTGAATGTGTGTATATAAGGGAACAATTTTGCACATCGATGCAATGTGTTTATTGCAAGACTGTCGATTAATGAAGAAAGGTCAGTCGGTCAAGTCTGCAAAACAAGAGTGTCATCTGTCATTAGCGAAACAGTTCAATCTTATATTTTATGTAAGTATTTAACATCTTCACTTATTAGATGGTGTACAACTGTGCAGGACAGCAAAACCATTGTGCGGTATTGACATTCATCAACAGACGAATGACTGGATTCTAGTGCATTTGTGTCAAGTTTAGCTCTCTCAAAGTCAAGTAAGATAAGATGTTTCTGTACATATTGAGCTTTTTTTTGTTTGTCTGTCATGGTGATGACTTTACACTCACATTACTAATTTAAAAATACAGTGATGATTTAAAATAACTTCTCTCCTTTAAACTATTTAATTCATAACTATTCAATTTGCAGAGATTTACACAATGAGCGACTCAGGTGTAATTGACAAGATTGGTGCAAGTTTGTCTCCTTCCAGTAATGGAAAATCATTTCATGAATTCGATCACATAAACTTAACAAATCACGTGCTAGATAAATCAGAGAATAAGATTAGTATGAGGAAAAATTTATCTACCGGAGCATTTTCTCAAGAAACTAAGCCTGAAGGCAAAGTACTTGTCTTGTACACTGGAGGAACTATTGGGATGGTCAGAAATAAAGATGGAGGTATTGTAAAATACAATTAAAAACTGTCTATCTTTATCACAAAGTCTGTAACATATATATGTATGTGTTTTAAAGCCCTGGTACCCATAGCCAATGCTTTTGTTAAAACTCTCAGGAAATACCCTAATTTACACGACAAACAGTATGCTGAAGCAAGATTTGGACCAATGGGGCCTCTTGTGTTACCGTATGTATTTAAAAAAAAAATTGATTGACCAAATTGAACATTTATTCAATATCGTTTTCAGAATGACTGACACTGACTCAAGAAGAATAATTTACGATGTTCAAGAATATTCACCTCTATGTGATTCTAGTAACATGAGAATGGATGATTGGATAAAAATAGCATGTGATGTGAAGGTAAAAATAATTTCTTATTAGTACTAACAATCAATTTTTTTTCAATCAATGTTCCGTTATTTCTTTAGGAATCTTACGAACACTTTGATGGTTTTGTTATTTTACATGGCACTGACACATTAAGCTACACAGCTTCAGCACTGTCCTTTATGCTCGAGGCACTGGGAAAAATCGTTGTATTGACTGGTTCACAAGTGCCAATTTTTGATACTAGAAGCGACGGTCTTGATAATTTTGTAACGTCCCTCGTCATCGCAGCCAATTATAATATTCCTGAAGTCTGTATTTTTTTTGGATGCCGTCTGATGAGAGGAAATCGCACAACAAAGTCGTCCGTCACAGCATTTGATGCTTTTCATTCACCCAATGCTGCACCTCTTGCAACTGCTGGTGTAAAGATAGATGGTAATGTTTTTTTTTTTCATTAATAGCACTTAATAGTATTGAAATTTTTTTTTTTCTAATTTCTTCGATAAATCTTTTCAGTGGATTATCGCTCGATTTTCCGAACGTGCATCTTAGAAAAATTTCACGTGCATACAACGTTAAATAAAAATGTTGGTTTATTGCGCCTATTTCCCAGTATTACCGCCGAACTGATAAGAGCTTTTTGTTCGAATCTGGAGGGTGTAGTTTTGCAAACTTACGGTGCAGGTAACGTACCGTCGAATCGACAGGATATAATAGAAGAATTTAAATCGGCAGCAGACCGAGGAGTGATTATTGTAAACATCACTCAGTGCGTGGAAGGTAGCGTATTATCAATGTACGAGGCAGGCACAATATTAGAAAATGCTGGTAAGTATTGAGACGTAAATTGCTGAGATAAAAATTTTTAGTATACATATCTCATATTTTCCATTCTATAGGAGTGATATCGGGTTTCGACATGACTCCAGAGGCAGCTCTTACAAAGCTCTCATACATACTGTCCAAGTCAGAATGGGACACGAAGACAAAGCGCTCAATGATGGAAACGAGTCTACGGGGCGAATTGACTGCTGGCAGATCGATTGCTCTTCAAGATTGGGATTTAGTCGATGCTGTTGGACGATCATTGCGAATAAGCTCACCGGCCGAGTTCAAAGAGCTGGGCTCCATTCTTTTTCCCGCTATGATGAACGCTGCAGTTATGGCCAAAGATATCTCAAAACTCACGTCACTAAAAGGATATGTGAGTTTTTTTTCTTTTTTATATACACTTAAATATGTCGGATATGCAAACAAAGTCTCTAAAATTCAGTTTTTTGTTTCTAGGGAGCAGATATATCGCAAACAAATGCCGATAACAGAACAGCCTTGCACGTTGCTTGCTGCGAAGGCGATATCTCAGTTGTTCGTTATCTCTTGAAGATGGGAGCTAATGTTCACATTAAAGATCGATTTAATCGCACACCGTTGACGGACGCCATAGAACACGATTATCACGAGGTATTATTATTATTAAGCTATGATTGCAACGAGTTTCAAGTCACGCTTACAAAGAGTACAATTTTTGGAAAAAAATTGTTTTGTTTTCGTAGATGATAAAGTTATTACGCCAGTGTGGTGCTCATTTGCACGAACGTGGATCAAAAATTGGTGAGCGTTTGTGTGCAGCAGCAGCCGTAGGTAACGAGAAGCGCCTGGTCTCGTATCACATAGCTGGCGCCGATCTCTCTCAGCCAGATGTATCGGGCAGAACGGCTTTGTACGTGGCTGCGCTACACGGGTATACTACCGCCGTGCAGCTTCTCTTAGAACATGGTGCTGATCCACAAGCAAGTGACATGCTCAAACAAACAGCCCTGGACGTTGCTCAAAAACCGGAAGTCAAAAAACTCATCGCTGACTACATGAAGGTTTGAAAGTTAGTACCTATCTGGCTAGATATTTCTTGGATTATTCACGATATGGTATAAAAACTACTTACTTTGAACGAAGATTTGACTGCATTTTTAAAAGAGAGAGTAGTTTTTACCAACTTTCTTATTTGTTATACAAATACATAAGATGTTTATATGAATCATAAAAATAATCTTATTTATTAGAAACCGTTGAAGTTGATGTATAAGTAAAATATAATAATTCAATCTTCTGATGAAAGGCTGAAATGTTTTAATTTGGTCTTGGATCTGGTAGTTATATAGGTAGTCAGTTTAAAAATTTTATTTTAAAAAATTACTTTTTACACTTGTCTGTTAGTGTTTAAAGTAAAATAATAATTTACATGTATATTTGTAAAAAGTGAATGTAAAGACTTGATAAATAGGTGAAAAGAAAACATTATTTAATAATAACGAGTGCTTAGAACAAGTAATAACCATATTATACAGAGCATAACTGTCAAAAAATGTCAAACAATGTGACCTAAGCAAAAAAATACATTTTTACTAATTACCAAAAAACTGTAATTGTCGTATTATGGAACATTGTTAAAATAACACAAGAGATGAATACTAAACGTAATAACGTAATGAACAAAATGTAACAGTATAATAAAAACTCAGATCACTAATTCTATGATTAGAATTATGAGTGAACTCTAAATTATATTTTTTGCTTCCACAAAAGTATCGATAACAGCAGTCCTGACAAAAAACATAATTTAAAAAACATAATACTTATTCTTGGTTCCCTTAGTTATATGTTATTACATACAATATCACGTCTTCCTATGTAGATTTGTACTTGAAAAAAGGACCAAAGCAGTAGCGCATTTAAAAATCGAGAGTAAGACTACCAAAGACTAACCCTTGTACCCGTGCGTGCGTTACTTTTTTTAAATTCCACAATAATGCAATCACCATAAGAAAATTAGCAAATTAAGGAATTACTTTTTTTCCGTAGTAATTACCATGTAAAAATAAAAGAAATTAATTACTCGAAGTTGAAATACATGAAAAATCAGCTGCACGACTAGCTGTCAGTTATTCAGGCCAAATGACAAGTGTTTATATATTATTTTGTTTGCCGGTAGTTAATATTTTCAATTAGAATACTTATAAGTAACAACATACTGCAACAAATGTATACTTGTCTCGTAAAAATATTATAATTTTTTTTTTTTTGTTACAAGCCGACAAGTTTCAACAAATTATTGACGATTTGTCGATTCAAAGCGCAATTTTTGTAAGAAACGTTGCACTCTTCTGTTTCCGAGACTTTGCGACCCATCGAAATCGCTTCCTCTATGGAGGTTCCATTGGTAACTTGCTCGAACCAACTGTGACTGAAGTCAAGTTAAAAGAAATGAACAAATAGTACAAATACCCGTACAATAATCGCCAAGTGCCAATATATTATCAAAGAAAGCAAAGAGAAAAGTCTACAGTTTACCTGGACAAGCCATCGATAATCTTATCGGCGCTCGACTGATTGTCCGAATGCCTCGCAACAGCCACCGCCGAGCACACGATAAGCTGTACGCACGGGGTCACGGGTCCCTCGCGGGACAACATTTCGTTCATCAACGACTCGTCAATGCTCCAAAAATCCAAACCTGCTCTGTCTCTTCCTGCGTTATATTAATTATATTTTTGCATCATGTAGACAACAAAGTCAAAGATGATACTTTGATTTTATAGTATCTAGTCTAGAGAGATTACATTTACTCGCGAAACACAATAACGCGATTCTAAACTTATTACAATGTAAACCGAAGCGCGTTATGAATAGTAAATGTCTGATGGTTAAAAATACATGTATACACGTGCAATATGTGACAAATAAAAAATGTATATATGTATATTGATATGTGTGAAAAACAAAACTGTGTGTTATTTTCCTTACTTTTGTGCTCCTTGCCGTAAGGGCGATGATGCTGGTAGTAGGAAAGGCTCTCGGTTGGGTCATCCACGTCCGGGCCATTTTTTGCAAACAGGGGCACAACAACCGCGGTAACGACCAAGAGGGTGCCGAAAATCGCCAGTCCCTTGGGGTTGATGTTTATGGGTGACACCGGAGCCCCGGGCTGTCTCGATTTTTGATTCAGCGGCAGGGACAGGAACGGGACCACCAGGTCCAAATTCACCTAAGTGCCCCACAATGGCATACATATGATTGAATGCTCTTTTTCTGTTTGAAACGGAAAAAACTTACCTCGACGCTTCCATCGTGTGGTTTTATGGACAGAAAGCGAGATTGCCGCTTGAATCCTGATCTCGAAACATTACTGGCTATTTGCTCGTTCGCATCGCCAAAGTATAAATGCCCCGTGGTGCAGAACAACGCTGACAGCAGTAAAAAGCTCTTGCGTGCCATTTCGGGCCGTTTTTACAAATGCACTCGCTAAAATTGAATGGGATATTTTTATATTTTACTTTTTACTTTCCTTGTTTTATTGTCCATTGGATATTTAATTAAACGTGAACCACGAATGAGCTGTGTATACTTGGATTTGCGCACTTAAGTCACCGAGAAAGATTGCCAAAGTCCCGAAAAAAAGACTTTCAAGTCGATTGAGATAACGCAAAGACTTCTGAAAGTCTCTGGAAGGCCATCCATGAGAGACTGCAAAGATTTCGGACTTTAAGGCGCGCAACCCTTCACGATTCACAGACCGATCTGTTGTTAAAAAAAAAATTCCTAACCGATGCCAATAATGAGCAATGAGTCTTGAAATTAAGTTACGATGGGTGCCCCCCAACCATGCTTCTCTCGCAACTTTAACTTTTCCGCGTAATAAGTATGATAAAAAAAAATCAAGTGTAAAGAAATTAAAGTCTCCCGATAACTTTTATGTGAAAATAATGATAACTGAACACACGCGGGCTCCAACTGCAATGTATTATAAAAAAAAAAAAAAAACCACATCCCCGCGCAACGCAAGATCGACATTGAAGTGAAAAAAAAAAATATAATTACCTTTGTATGCACTGTACCACAAATGTAAAAAAAAAAAAAAAAAAAATACCACGGGTGATGATAAAAATGACAGATTTTGAAAAGCCCGAATGAACAATATTCGCGCGAAGCCCGAGCTGAAACTCAACGCGGGAGTAATCCGCGCTCTGGATATGTACGCGCTCGTGTGGCCCCCAACCCTCTCCGTACAACACACCACCCGCGATGGAGGGGAAGCTTCCTCGTCCCGAAAAAAAAGAAAAAAAAAAAAAAAAAAAAAAACATAACGACCGCGCGATCGTTATGATAAATGCGCCAATGTGTGAACAGCGCGTAATTAGTTTTCACCTTCGGACGCCCCGACGCTCGTTGTACCGATCTGTGTGTGCGTGTGTTGGGCATTTTCGTTGTACTTTTCTAGTGCAACGCGCCAGAACCACTTGTACGGGCGAAGGGGATGCTCTACTCGTGTAAACGCACACACACACACACGGGTACGTAACGTGTGTGTGCTCGGTTGATGACGATTTCTTTGCGTTGAGCGTGAACAACAAAAAAAAAAAAAAAAGAAAAAAGATAAATTGGAAAAGAAATTAGCTTATTCGGTATAGGCCTAATTAAGATTTGACGCGATATGTCATTGCTGCGGTTTTCATACAGGAAGGAAGCGTTTTTTTTTTTTTTCCAGACCGCATGCGTGTGGTTAGTGGTGATTAATTAACGGGTAATCACGATGAGTAAAAGCGTCGCCGTATATATGTATGTATACCTACAGCTCTGACAGTAAGTTAACGTGCAGGCTAGAAGGGGTGTGTATTTACGCGCACAGTCGGGAACAATTAATATATCCACGGGGGTTATTACACGATTCCTTCTCCAATAAATAATTGTAATTCCTACTTTGGCGTGGCGTTTTAATGGTCCATCGTGATTATCTTTCGATCGATCCAATAGTTTTTTTATTTATTTTTATGCTGACATTTAGGTAAATTTACTCGTTTCGTTCCAATTGTAACGTAATAACCGAGTTTATTATACAACAGCACCTACTTTGTATTGATTTTTTCAAGAGAATTTTAGCACGTTCAAGTAAATAAATAAAAAATAAAACGAAGCTTGGCAGTTTATGGAAACGTTGGTTCGTCGAGTAAAAGTTCAGAGGGACTGCTTATCGGATATCGATGGAAAGACTTTGCATGAAAACGTAAAATGTATTTATCATACCAGATCATTAAAATTATTATAAAAGAAATACATGAGTATAGGTTTGATTTTTTTTTCTCTGCTGGGACTCCATCATCTACATCGACTGGTGAATTGGTATTATACATATATATTTTAGGACGGAGATTTTTTCCTTCATCACAAGTGTTCCATCAAAAGTATACTCCGAATAGCTCGTTTACAGATAAAAATACGGATGTGAACGGCGCAAAAATGTTAGTTGATTGGAATGAAGAGCAAACTAATTTGAATACGACGGCATCGAGGGAAATCTTCCACAACGAGATTTGTTTGTTAGAATTTAATTGTCACTCAGATCGTCATGACAAATGTACTAGTCTACTATGCAGGGATGCGATTCCTCAAATCACCTCATCGGTCGGGACGATCATTTTCAATTCTCGATATGAGAATCGAATTAAACTTGGGCAATCAAAGAAATGTACCTCGATTGTAACTAGTTTTTCATTTTACGGCAAAAAATTACATTTTTTTATTTTATTTTCGAGCTTGTCCATTTTAATTCTAGTGCATTTTTTTCTTTTAAAAAAATTGATTGGCAGGTGATGGTCACCACTCGGTACATCTTCGTAATAGGTTCACCTTTTTTTCATAGACGATTTATGGGTGACTACGCTCTTTGCTCCGCTGAAAAATGTATGCGAGTATATATACATGGCATATTATTTTGAGGAGTCGTTGGCTACTCGAAAAATCGGTCAACTCAAAGAACCACGGGAATTGGTTGCCATAAATTCGAAAATACGAGACGATCATAACAATCGTCCACCAAAATCGATATTTACTTCGCGAATCGGTCACATAAGCGTTGTTTGCACCATTTGATGCGTGTTTGGCCGAAACGCACGCGCATACTTGTTCATAATTTCACTCTTTTCCAAACACATAAGGTACGAAAGGTAGTTGACTCGTAATTTCGAAGAAATGGAAATGGTCACGCTAGGACCGGCACGAAAACGAGAACGAAAGTCTTTGTTGTTGTTATTATTATTTTCCTCAGTCGCGCAGAGTCAACAAACCGCGAGAAAACACCGACCGCGTGCAAGCGATGCGCCGTATGAAAATTGGAGAGAAATCGGCGCTCCGATGTCGTCGCCCGCGAAACTTTCAAATGACTTCTTGAAAAATTACCCATACCCCCAGCGACTTACCACTTTTTTTTTTTTTCCTCCGAATTTCATACACACCTGCCATTTAAATTATAATTTTTTTTCTTCTTAACCCCCCCCCCCCATTGTTCTGCGATGACTGTACAAGCTTTTTATCCGAAATGCACGAGATTGCCACTGAATCGACACATATGCCCATAAAATCAAACCGTGTCGAAAACACGTACAAATTTGCAACAAATAACCCATCGTCATGAATTTCGACGCGCACGTACGGTGGCGTCGCAAAGACAATTCAAAATGTATGTAGCAACCGCCAAAAGGACGAAAAACGAGGCTGCGCGGCAATTACCCGCGCCAGGAGCCTCGCAAAAAAAAAAAAAAAAGAAATAATAATTCTTCGTCCCATTACGTATATTGCGCAACTCTGGTCGTCGTGAGCGTAGAAAAGTACCGGAAGTCCGGGCGTGCGAGATGCCCAAGGAGAGAGCCCTAACAAGCTATATACACAAGAGCAGTGGCGCAAAAGCTGAGTTATTATTTCGGGAAGAGGGAATAAGGTCTCGGGGCTAAAATCTCGAGCACATAGAAAAGAAATCCTAGTGCGCGTATGTGTGTACCCGTACAAAAAGCGTCACGCGTCGCCTGATGCACGACCAACGAAAGCGAAACCGTTCTGGGCGCAATGATTTTTCCGTCCCCTCCCCCGTGGTTGTATAATACAAGCAAGCGCAAGCAAAAGGAGGAGCGACAAGCGCGGCTTGTATATATAACGAGCTTGCGACGAGGATTCAAGCGTCTTTTGCTCTTGACACTCGTCGGCGCCAAGTGTATTATTGCGAACCCAAAGGGGGTGCGACATAGAAACGCGTTGCTCGATTTCGTTCAAGTAGGGTACACGGCAAACATGAAATCGGCAAGTTTACTGATCATCGCGCTCCTCGTGGCGGTGGCCTCCTGCGTTCCCAAGTTCGAGGACGGAGGGTAAGTTGTTTTTCCACAACAACATATGATAACAACATTGCTCCGATGTAATAGTTTGCTCGGTTAGTTTCAAGCCGAGTTCGGTCGATTACACGGAGAAATCGGCCAAGGCTCAGGACCAAGTGGCCATGCCGAGCCAAGCCAAGCGCAAGGAGGGCGACTCGTCGCGAAACAACGAACTGAACGACCGGTCCCAGGAGCCCCGTTTCGGCTTCACCAACGTCGGCGACAATTCCGTGAGTATACGTGTACATTTGCCTGTATGTGTTTGAGCGCACATTGTATATCCCAAGTACTGGATGACAGGGTTACGGAGTGTCGAGCTACGCGCCGGCCAAGATCGACCTGGGAGGACTACTGTTGGGCGCCGTGATCGGTATAGGGACGATCCTCGTCATTCCCAAGCTTCTCTACGTCCTGTCCGGATCGTACGGCGCTTACGCCCGAAGTAAGTTCGAAAGCGATGTACAAAAGATAACGATGATTGTAAAAAAAAAAAAAAATAAAAAAAACAAATATTATAGGTGAAGACAGCGGTATAGCCCAGATAATGACTCGGTTGGACGATGCTTTGGCGCGCAACGGCATAGACACGACGACTTGCATGCAGCGGGCGGCCTGCTCGTATTCGAAACAAGCCATGGAAGCTGTGCGGGGTGCAGGCAGCGATAGCAGTAACAACAGTGGGGACGGGATATCGACGGCGGATCGGTTGATGGACGCGTTCTCGTCTAACGAGGTGTTGCGGACGGCCTTGCGGGGCACGGCGATTCAAGAGGCGATCGAGGCCGGTCGGAGCGGGCAAAACTGCGCGAGGGTTTACCAGCAGTGCGGCATGTCCGCCGAGAACATGCTGACGATACTGGCCAAACTGGCGGCCACTCAGGCGATCGGCAACGCAGTCAAGGCCACGGCCACGGCGTGATTTTTCTCTCCTCCCAAATGATGATCGCGAGCTTTTTCTCTGTTGTCGAAATTTTTTTTTTTTAGGAGTATATATCGTTGAATCGCGGATATATGTACTTAACGTTTTTTTACCGTCAAAAGAACATGTTTTTGTCGAATCGTTAAAATTGTATTTGAACCGCGCTTGTGCTGCCATGCCGGAAAAACAAGTAATTATATAGAAACCACTAATGCAAATCAATGAATATTTATGTGTGTACGTAGAATAATGATAACATAATAATAATAATAATACATTTGTGTGAAAAATCGTGTCATTTTTATTTTAAATATATACATACATGGTATGCTTCGTTCTTATGATATACTTTCAAAAAATATCTCTCATTATTTTTATCTTCTTTGCAGGATAACGAGTTGAAATAAAAATTTCCTCAAAATATCCGACAGCATCCGGTGCTCATCTATTAAAAATATACATTCCGTTTGAGATTTTTCTCTGTTAAATGCACTTGATCGACTTTCTCGCTAGGCATTATTGTCAACTATAAAAAATATACTTTATATGCAACCATAAAATCTTAAAACGAACAATTAGTGAACACCACAGTATCGTTGATTTAACGACGTATTTCGTATACGCACAATAAACAACGCTATAATTATATAAAATATGCACAACAAGTGCGGAATAAAAGAGCTACGTGAAAAAAACATTTTTAGTAATCACATTCCTGAAACTGTAATAATATTTGTATTTAAAATACTGAAATGTCATCGTTGACTCGCATCGAGAATGTTGCAAAGTATTCTACTCAAAATATACTATCCATTTTTATTATTTCCTATTTCATACCTCGATCGTCGTATGTATACTATAGTAATCGATAAGTTTTATAATATCTTTAGTTCACATATCAGTAAAACAGTTTCAACTTTAAAACGACTAAGTAATAAAATAGTTTATACATTCTCATATTTAAAATCGCTACGTCCGAGCCATAGTTTTAGGACCAGATTCACGTTTGAAATCAAAGCCCTTCATTTTTACCGTGCGAAATAACTTACTACTGTCAATTGATATAAAACCCTCTAAGCTTGTCATGATTTCAATTTCGACGGAATTATTTGGTTTTCGCAATCATCTCTAAGACTATTCCTCGCAGGTCTACGCCATCGGAGACAGTCACGATGCTACTCGGTCTCCAAAGATCAGCATATAGTTTTTCATTTGGTTTGTCATGTACTATATTACAATATTTTATTTTAGGCGCTTTTCGAAACGATTTAATTAGTTTTATCTTTCTAACTTGTCTTTTTTTTTTTTTTTTTTTTTTTTTTTTTTTTTTTTTTTTTTTTTTTGTCTCTTGGGTCTAAATCACAAACCCGACAGAGTCGCGTCGCAAAACTCCAAAATTTTCTACCAGGTTTCTCTGACAAGGCGATTTTCATCAGAGCATGTGCTCGCGACTCGGCAGCAGTAAAGCGGCGCCAACGGCGACGCATACATGCCACACGCTGTGCACGATGTAATAATTGCTGCGCGTCTGCAAAAACGCGAAACACACGAGTCCAATGAGCACAATCACCAAGCCGGCCGGCAGATAAAACAGCCGGTAAGCGCGCGCCGGGTACGCCAGTGTACCTGCAAGACGAATCAATCAATTTTTCTTATTTAACTTTACTTCATGTTCAACGCTTACCTTTCTGTCGGCACTTGAGGGCCCATGAGACCACAACGAGGCCAAAGCCAAAGAAGGCCGGCAGCAGAAACACCCACAGAGCCATGCGGTCCATCTCGGCGCCCATGGCGAGCACTATGACGCCCAACATCTGGCAGAACGACGTGACCCTACGGCCCATCGAAGCCATCGCCACCAAAGTCAACCAGATGGCCAGCAACGCGCTATAAAAGTCACCGAACTGCAGCACGTTCAGGCTCAGTCCGAACAGACAGAAACTGTGCTCCTGCGACACCAAGAAAATATGTATATGGGCATATACAAATTGGCTAGAAAAAAAAAGAAAAAAAAAAGATTTACCTCGTCCGCAGCGTCGCAGGCGTGGTAGAAGGTCGAGAAGAACATGACGGTCCCGTAGACGAGAGCCTCGGTGTAGTAGTGACGCTTGATCGCGGCGACAACGGCCCCGACGAAGGCCACGTTGCTGCAAGTGAGCAAGACGATACTGGTCACGGCCCGCCAGTCGCTCATCACGTAGGCATCATCGGCGCAGTCGAAGCCACGGTAACCCCCGGTGCAGTGGCACGCGGCGACCACCGAGCCCCGATTCAGCCGTTTCACGCACACCCCGTGATCGCCGCAGTGGCCGTCGACGCAGAACGACGACTGGATGATCGTCTCAATCCGAGCGTCGACCCCGTGGACGCAGTCGCACGCCGGCTCGCCGCAACCGGTCCCGTTGAGGGCGCAGTCCTCGAAGCACTCGCAGCCACTGGCGTTAGCGACGCCGAAGGCGCGGATCGTCAGGTACCAGGTGCCCGGCTCGGGGTACGGCACGTACACGACGTCCGGGCTGCTGTGGTTGCGGGAGTACACGTCCGCCGTCCTCGACCCTTTTTGCCCGTGGCAGGAGCCCATAGGGCCCACCGTCGAGTAGTAGCCCAGGGAAAGACAGCCCACCAGTCTGATGGACGACTGGTCCTCCTCCTCCTCGGCGAGTCTCATGCTGATCGATAGAGTGCCGCCTGTGTCGTAAACCGGGCCGACCTGGAACCTCAGCAAGGCTAGACTGCCGGCTGTGAGGTTAAAGGGCTCGTTGTTATCTGCCCTCGGCGACAGGTGGTCGTAGTCGAACATGAAGAAGTCGGGCAGGGTCTTCCTCGTGAGCTTGACCACTTGGAGGAGTCCCGGGTCCGCCGGTTGGTGGACGAGCTCGAGAGTGACGTCGCTGGCGTTGCCGGACTCGAGGCGTAGCGTCACGTAGTGCAAGGAGCCGTCGTTGAAGCCACGGAAGTGGTAGGTGTCGCTGGTGGCGTTGAGCTTGTCGGCAAAGACGAGATCGGCGGCGGTTACGTGTACGGAGATGGAGCAGTTCTCGGCGCAGGTGGAGTTCAAGGTGAGGCTCGAGGCGTTGGTGTTGCGGGGCACGCGGAACTCGGTTACCGAGGAGTCGACTTGCCGGGTCAGTTGGACCGAGTGAGCCGATGCGTTGGGGCCCAGGGAGAACGTGAAGTCGGGGTGCTCGATCGACATCTCTGCCTCCAGCACTGTCTTGCAGCTGGCAGCTAGACCTGTGTGCGCGCGAGGGTAAATAAGTCATAGTTTGTTTTTATTGCGTTTGGGATGATAATTGTTGATTTGAATCCAGTACCGGCTTGTTTGATCTGCTCGTCGTTGGGATCGACCCAGGATCGGTAGGCAATCACGTACCAATCGCCGGGTGGCGGTGCGGGGATGTTGGAGAGGTGTTCGAAGTCGTTGCTCTGAGACTCGATGGTGTAAATTCGCCGCCGATTTGGCAATACTTTCGTCTCGATTTTCGAGCCATCGGGACTGACGAGCGGCAAACTGCCGGACTTGAAGTTTATCGTCACGTTGCGAGGGTAGCACTTTCCCACCCCGCCAACCTTTTCCTCTGTGCTGATGAACCTTTTTTTTTTTTTTTTTTTTTTAAATTCACATTTTTAGTACATTCGTCTAAAGGCATTTTTAGTACATTCGTCTATAGGCATTTTTTTTTGTTCACGCACGTCAAAAAGAGGGAGTTTTTCCGTTTTTATTTTATGTATATAACAATATATGTATACTAGGGGTCTATAGAACTCGTGTATTGTTAATTTAAAAAATTTTTTAAGCTCCATTATGACCCAGATAATTTTGGCACTATATAGTTGCATTTTAATATATACCTACACAGGACATGTACACAGTGTACATGATGTAAACTTAATTGATGGCGATGCTAAATTATTACTCAAAGCTTTAGAACGGCGATTTTACAAGTTTTTTTTTTTTTCACTATCGCAACTTACATTTAATGTTTATAAAATATCGAATTCAAATTACCACGGAATTTATTCGAATGCAACTGTGTTTAAAATAATTTATTTTAAACATATTTGTATTTGATCAAAGTATCTGAAATATTAAAATTAAAATCACATACAAATATAATGTATCAACGTGTTTGAACTTGAAAACTTGATGGTGCGACGTATATGAAATACCTTAAATATAGCGTATTTTCAACCATTGTGGAAATACTCTTGTTAAAAATTTTTAACACCCGAAATATTGTAATTCAAAGACAATACACTTATAAGATTAATTTATTTAAATTAATATTTGAGATAAAGTAACGAATATAGAAATTGAGAGATTATCTTATCCAGCGGCTAAAGGAACGCAGTTGCAGCAATGAAAATACAAATGAATTTTTGGTCATATTGAATAACCACACTGATGAAAATAGCCGTTGTAGCACCAAAGTATAACTTTTACATACGACACACGGTATTATATAATCCTCGATTTGATGCAAAACCTATACGTAATGGACAAAGGGCCAAACAGACAATAGAGGACCGCTAGACGAGATATACGGACGGGAAGGTGGTGGGTGGGTAATTAAACTCGATGAAGCAGCGCACGGAAGGGATATTCAATCGAGGCTCGTATAACAATAAACGATGCAATAACACGTAATTGCAAGATATATGTATATAGTGTATATAATGAACGAGACGGGAGAGCCGCTCAATGCGCAGCAGAGATACAGCCGATCTCCCGTACGCGTTATTACGCCAAGAGTAGCCCATCCGGTCGAACAATTGCCCGATTAACTCCCCGCTTCGTGTCAGCAGAATTGTTATCGCGATGAAGGTTTTTTTTTTTTTTTTTTTTTCACCCCCGCCAAAATGATGTACCTATTCCTGTGTGGAAAGATGAAGGAAAACATTTTTAAAACTCACTTGAATCCGACCGATACGGCGCCCTCGGGTACGACAAAGTGCACGACGGTCACGTACTCGTAGCCGAGAAAGTCGTACAATTCGTTGTCCGGCTGGCGAGCTATGATTTCCGTGGTACTGGCGAGTGTCGAGATGCGGTGCAGACTAGCCCAAGCCAGGACAATTAGGCCCATCATCATGTAGCGGTGCTGGAGTGGTCCCATGATTACTCCGAGGATTGAGTTGGAGATCGGGAGTAAAGCGACACTATATGCACGTGCTCACGGCACCTCCTTCGATGCCCTACATGTACGATAATATTGCCGCCTTCCGCTCGACAATGGCTCTTTTGCACCGTAGAGGGGGAAATTACACAGTTTTATCTTTAATGCTTTCGCTGTAAATTATTGATTCAACGAGTTTTCACTGTATATAGATAAACGATTTTGTGATTCACGCCCATCAAGTAAATTAGAAAATAAGTATATCTTATTCATGCGTAATTCGAGTACAGCTATACTTTTGAATGGATATAGAAAATATGAATGTTCAAGTGGATTTGATTGCTTGTATGTGTTTAGAAGTGAAAAAAATAAGTAATTTTGACGTTATGTGTGGTACAATATTTCACGCGACAAGAGTCTCTTTTTTTTTTGTTCTTTTTACTCAAATGATGCGTGTCCGTATATCTCGAGTCGAGGAGATACAATAATCGTGTACCCCAGTCATACATCCATACGACATGGAACTCTACTTTATAGTGCCCGTTTGAAAAAAAGCATTTAATCAATTGTACGTATATATATATTCCAAGCAACGGTCAAAGAAAAGAAAAAAGGCATTATAGCTTGAACGGTGATGAGTTTTGTCATAATATAGGTACACTAGTTACGCACGGGTTGGCCTTGACCACGTATACAGCATGCAATGTGTGATGGCGTCCTATGCACGTTCAAATTGTTTGCCGGCTATTCGCAAAGACGGTCTAATCGATGCCCCTCGCGTTTTCTTTTGCTCGCCCCTACTCGTACCGGTAGGGCATGAATTATTTTACGGAACAACGCGAATGAGTACTTAACTCTATACTTCCTTCGCTCTTTTGTGCTGCTTCGAGCCAAATATAGAGGTATTGTTATCTATATATTGTGGGGCGCTCAAATTATTTTACAAAGTCGAGCACTTGCGGGGATCAATTCCTGAGTTCTGTGCAACTATTTCCCATTGGTCAAAACTCCCAAAACGTCGGACACTCGCTAAATGCATTTTTTTTTTTTTTTTTTTTTTTTTTTTTTTTTTTTTTTTTTTACCAACCCTGTAATACTATGTGCAGTTGGGCAGTGGTTGTGGTGTTGAAACTTTGTTAAAAATTCATGCGATCGATCGATGAAAAAAAAAAAGAAATTGACCTTACGGATGTGTTCTACATGCAATGATCTGGTAGAAAGTACACGTGTTTTTTCCAACACTATGTCCACTGTGTTTCTAAAAAAAGTTGGTTCATTGTTTAAAATCATTTCTACGCATTTACATATTACATACATACACATTATATAGGTACGTGTGTACTTGCATGCACATTATACACGTGACAAAAGTCCGTACAATGTATGATAGAAATTCAATCCGTTAAAAATCAATACATACTCACGAAAACTGACCTACCGCGCCAAAATTCAAGCTCTTATGGTTAATTGTCCATGCTCATACGCGGCGGAAAAATATAAAAATCAATCCCGATCCACGAGTGACAAAACTATTTCGTGTACACGTGTGTGCATGGAAATAGAGCTTTCTTCAAGCTCGCAAGCTCGTGTGATTTAAAAAAAAAACCATCATCACCTGTCACTCGTTGCCAACATCAACGGCGTTTATTGTTTACTCCAGCCCGTCCCAGCAGAACACCCCGCACAATTGACTCCCGACGAGCACAACCACACAAACTACGATCAACACCACGACGCATGAGAAACACAATTCCAAGCACAGCCTACCGAGCTGTCGCATCCGCGGGATGGAAAAAAAAACAAAAACAAAAAAAAAAAAAAAAACAAAGTTCACTTAGTATACACGCACCACGTGGGGAGAGCCCCAGGACTTCAGCTGTGCGCACATATATTATGTATCTCTATGCTGTTGTTGTCACACTCCCCGTGACCCCGTGTTCTCTGATGTGTTTGAAAGGAAAAAAAAAAAAAAAAAAAAAAAAAAGAAAAGCTCCGCGTCAGTTCCGCTTGCGCGTAGTATCAGTACTGGTGCGGCAGGGAAAAAGCTCATATTGTCTATATATACACCCATCAGAGGCGTTATCTCTCTAGTTGGCTATACGTATATAATATATATGTATGTATATATCGATCGTCGTCATGTGCGGTGTATTGTAGAGTATATGTACTCTCGCGACGTTTTATGCACATGAGGTAATCCACGAAAAACTATCCCGCTTGTGTCTCCGAATCTTCAATGAATTTTTATTTTTTAGGCTCACCCTCGAGATAAGGCTCATTTTGCTTTCAATGTCACGTATCATGAGTACCAAAGGAAAAAGCATGAATGTATGGGTTTCCGTCGAGGTGATACCCTTTTTTTTTTTTTTTTTTTTAAATGCAATTATTATTACATCTGATTGTATCATGTACTCATATATAATTTTTGCAGGTGAATCGCGGAGAAATGGCATCACCCTCATTGAAATCCGTGTTCATGATTTTTCCTTCATGCGTGCGGGACATTGCAAAATGGGCCCCATCTCGAGCCTAAAAAAATTTTTTTTAATTTTTATTTTAAAAGTTCAGGACTTTTTTTTGAGGATTTCCTTGTGTACGAATGACGGGGCAGCACGAGCACACGAAGAATTTTCATATTGTGTTTGCGTCCTGTACATGTACTATCTATGTACAGGCAAGGGGGCACGATTATCAGATAATACAGAACAGACGTTATCGGCTATCGTGTATAGTGTGTATACCCCAATTGTCGGCGATTCGTCGTGCTTTTTCGATTTCGTTACTCAAATTTATGGGTATATTAACTGAGCTGACTTAACTAAATGTAAAACATGTACGTGTAATTGTGTTTAACAGTGTTTAAGGTGGATTTTACGAAAAAGACAATAATTTCATGGATCGTTGACGTGTCCTCTCTCATCATGAAATTTAGTTTTTGTATGTAACTTTTTTTATAATATTTTCAAATTATTCGTGGTTTCGACCAATACGCTGGAAACTTTCGGGTTCGACACGATTTTCGTCATTTTGAGAAAACTGTTGAGTCGATTTTTTATAAAAATCTTATTGATACGTGGGCGATTTCATCCATCTTTTTTTATTTCAAAATAAACTTGCCGTTTACAATATGGAACAAAAAATTTTGGCTCGAAATAATTGAATAATTTGTTCTGTACAACTGGCACGAGTAATAACGATAAAGTTTTCTTGGAACGACTCATTTTTTTTATACATGTAAAAAAAGACCATTATTTAAGACAATGGCACTCGTATAAAATGATGGAAATACTGGCTTATTACATAATATTTATTGTTAACATGCTCTGATGTTTATGTATAATTGAAATGATCAATATAGTGGGTGATACCACATCGATGTGACGGGTACATAATATATGTGGTGTTACGTTAATTATCGCCTACTTATTACGATGCCAAGAACAAAAGAAAGCTTTACTTAAATATACCATCGGATACAATTGATTCAAAAAATTGAATAGCTCAGGGGCGAAAGTACCTACGATTTTTTCTTTTAGGAAATAGGGTGTCTCACATATTCATTCACCCCGAGTAACGTACACGTATATAATCGTCTGAGGCGTCGATATGCACTCGTGCATGATTATGCCACGTTTTCTTACTTAACTTTTATTTTTAATATTTTAATCGTTAAGAATAAAAAAAAGTTAGGATGAGCCTGTACAAGTACGTAAAAAAAAAAATAAATAAATAAAAAATAAAAAAACAGACGACCACCGATCGTTTTGGATTATTCATTAAGATACGTAAGGGATAAGGTAAAGTAAATGTTATAGTCAGTAAGTGTTGTGGTCATAATCAATACTCGATTACTTTTAACGTTTTTTACTTGGTACTTTCAATTAAGAAATTAAAATTTCGAGTATTTTTAGAGCTTCGTGATAAAGAAATTCAATTTTTTTTTTTTCTCTTTGTGTCTATTTAAAGTAATTTTATATAAGTAATTATTTAAGTAAAGACTAATTCAACTTTTCCATTAAAGCTCGATGATGTAGTTAGGTAATTATTGATGAGAGGATCGTTCGAGCTTTACCGCACTGCGGAAATGCTATTTCTCGTGCAACAAGCTACATCAGATTACTTATTGATGAGGTAATTATCTGTGAAATGAATTACTTTTTATTGATTTTTTTCTTGGAAAAAAAAAAAAAAAAAATCTGGTTCAATTTTTAAATGTATTTTTTAGTCTAGATTAAATAAAACCCATCATTAATAATTAATAGTATTCTTTATTTTAACAGTCTCCAGATAAAATATCATACACACACCAGGTACATTTATCATCATAAATGTATAAATATAATTTTCAAATATTATAAACTCGACTTTTGTGTAAATCTAGTAAAAAATATTCGCGTCTACTTAATTAAGTATTAAATTGTCAATAAATACATGTAGATATGTAATAAATAATTGCACTTTGTGTTAAAAAATTGTAAAGTCATGTATAAAAAAATCTCATAAATAATACTCCGCAATGGACGAATCATAAGTACACCATTTTTATAAATAATACTCCAGGATGGATCAATCGTAAGTACACCATCTTTCAGAATTCCCAGGACTCTAACCAGCGCAAAGAATGCATGCGACTCTGTGGATCACTTGCCGATGGTCCCTCCATTCCATATGACAATGGAGAAAACAGATAAAAGCTGTAAATTTGAACATTAATTATTTTAATATAAGTTGATTTGTGTAATTTTAATTGAAATGTGTGTCTTCTGTTTACCTATAAACTATAGAATGGATGAAAGCCCCAAGTACAACATGATAAAGCGTTTTGCCGATTCTATCGGGCAGCAATAACGTAATATTACTCAAGATGTAGTCTATTGTAGTTCCAGTCAACATTGAACTGTAAATCAGAGCCGGAAAATAATGATGGAAATATAAAATTCGAGTCATGGCCCAAAACGGCACGTAATGCAGCAACCAGCCAACGAATAGCCAGCTTCCTGCATAAGTGATGGTTTTTCTCTGCTCAATCAGAGCCGGATCATCTTTACAGCCACGTTTCTCGCGTACAGCCGCATTGATGTACACCGTCGTGAATATTACCAGAAATACTATGTTACCCCACCAAATCACCGGGTTGCCAAGAAGGTAAATTCTTTGGTTGTTGCCGGAAAAAAACTGTCCCTGTGATTTATCAACGTTTAAACATTTTTCAAAGAATTACTAAATAGTTGGTTGTTGAAAAAATGTTTTAATTTACTCGGTAGTTGATGGGCCACTGCCAAGGTTTGGAAGAAACTTCACCTTCCTTAACTTTTAAGTCAGAGTTACCCTGTAACATTACTGCGTGAGATTCCAAGAATCTTTTTAAAAAACTAGGTGCATACACTTGAAAACTAACGTTTGGAACTGTAAAGGGAATACATACAGTTAACTCGTTTCCACCAAAATTAAATTTTTTTTATAAAACCAACTTACGTTTGGCATAATTGTTATCCTCAATATTCCAAAGAGCATTTTTATCCCTCACGTTTGGATTGCAAGAAACCTCTTGCTGGCTGTATGCCCTGTAAAACGTTTTAGTCTTGATAAATTTTGAGACGAAATGCCAATCAATATCAATTTTCATCTATTTTACCATTTAGGTAAGGTTTTACCACTACACGTTAAAACACAATGGTGTAGATAATGAACAAATTTTAATTTACTGGTTACAGTTTCAACGATATCTCCATTATTGCCACCTTGGATGACAATTTTCCAAACGTCATTAGCATCACCAGTTCCATTCTACAACCACATATCATTTATACATGTATAAAAAATTTACTCTAAAAAATGTAGCGTTTTTATTTTGTTACCTCTCCGTAACCAGTAACTTGAAAATGTTTCTTTGATATTGGCGCCAGCTCTTTATGAGAATGTAAATTTCTTCCAGTAATGACATGCTCTAGTCGAATAAGATCACCATGTTTTACTAACTCCGACTCGGATGGTATCTCATCAGAGTCATATTTTTTTACAATCCATAAGTTGTTATCATCTTTATGAGAATAAGTTGTTATCTAAGGTTCAGAGATTTATGCAATTTTAAAACAACGATTTTATCATTAAATTACTAAGTTATCAAGACAGTAATAAGAAACCTGTTGTTGCCTGGCTCCAACGCCTTCGGGATAGAGGTGCCAATGTGAATGCAAATATCCACCTCCAGTTCTGTGATTTTTTAAAGTAATTTTTGCTCCATATGCTAAATGACGAGGCATCGAAGCATTATGTAAAGAATTACCTTCCAATAAAGATTGAAATTCTGAACTATAAAATCCATCTCCACTCCCACTAAGTAAATTACATGCAAATTATTATTATTAGGGAAAATATTCAAGTCTTTTGGAAAATAAGTTTCATACCTTTTGTTTAAAATGGTAAGATGAATGTAGAAAAAGGACATGTATAAGAAAATGGGCAGTATTATAAGACAAACAGTCCTAGCTAACAAATGCTTTCCAACAGTCACCTGAAAATAGAATTTACATTATTTTTTCCAAACAATACTCGCAACTTTTTATATTCAAATGTAACTCTAGCAACTTACAATTGATTGATTCAAATTTCCCAATTCTCTCCATAATTCGTAAATTGTATATAGACCAACTAACAAGACAACAAACAAGCCAACAAATTTAACACTCATTGTGCAGGCAAGAGACACTCCTGTAAAAGCTAACCATGCCCACCAGGAAAATGTAAATGGACATTCATGTAGGGAACCTACTCGTGTCATGCCATAAGTTGCACACATCATAAAAGACAAAAGTATAGGATCCAGGAGGATGTACTGATTAAGAGTCAGTAGACCAACATCTAAAAATGTGCATAAACAAAACACTAATAAAACATGCAAATAATTTGATTACTTGAAACTTACCACACAAGACTAAACTAGCTGAAAGAAAAGCAGCTCTTGTTGATTTACTCAATTCCCACACAGTTAAAAAAGACAATGGCACAATTGTTGCACCCAGAAATGTACAAAACTAAAAATATCGATATGATTTTAAAATTTAAAACAAATTCAAAGAAATTAATTTACTTACAACTCTCATTCCAATATAATTAGTATTCTCGTATTTATCTCCAGGTTTTTCAAATGGAAATTTACCATCATACCCTGTTAAATATCCTGATAGTGCAATAAGCATCTGCCAAAAAAATTATCAAACTAATTAAACTATCGATCTTAATACAGTTGTTAATACGCAAAATTTTTACCTTTCCCAAAGGTGGATGAACATCAAAAAAGAAAGTCCTATTGATGTACCAGCTTCCCATCTTACCAAAATGAGTCTCATCCCAGCTACGTACGCAATCAAAAAAAGTTTTATTTAGTTTGGCTGTTAAATAAACTGTAAATACATTAAATAATATGCATACCAGACATGAGCAGGTTCAGTAACCCTATAAAATCTTGTTGCAGCAGTTACAAAAATAATGAATCCAAAACATAACCACCACTTTCTGTAAACACAATTCAATTAAAATGATTTTTTATTCTAGGAAAAAAAGGGTGATAATTTGTAACTTACGTATCTTTGGCTTCTTCGTCATCTTCGGATTTTTTATTTGCTTTTTTAAATGATTTTTTGGCAACATTGTTTTTTTTCTCGGCAACTATATCACCGCCGCTTTCTTTTGCCATATTTAAAAAAAATCAACTAAACTTGTATGTCTAAAAAAAAGAAAAAAAAAACGAGTGCATGTATTTAATCAAAAATATTATTCTTGGTGAGAGAAAGTAAAAAAATCACTACAAGAAGAAAAATAAAAGCGGCCATACGTTGACAATTGTCATCTCAATTTTATTGAAATAGTGGGATAAAAAAAGAAAACAAATTTTTTTTAGCAGAATATATTATACCTATCAACTCTTAATAATAAAAACAAGATTATCCTACATCCACTCACCTTTACAAAACATATTTCAATTCGAGTGAAACACTATTTAACGTCAAAGCCCGTGCAGGAGAAAGGGACACGTCTTCATCTTCAGTATCATTTTTTTTACTTAAGTATAACCACGCAAAGAAGTAGAAGAGAAGGGAGTCAATTGTAAGCAGCAACACGGATAACTGTAATTTCGTATGATTACCGAATCAAGTAAATTGTTTATTCATACTATATCGTTTTTTCATGAACATCTTCCAAGGAATGATGTGAGATTAAAAAAACTATTTACCCCCCCCCTCAAAGAGATCAATGACATCAATGTATATATTATACACAATTAATGGCGTAATAAAATATTTGGTAAAAAAAAGTTTTTCAAACTTTTTACGTATTTAGAACTATATTGTTTATCGAGTTACATTTTTCGTGAGCACTTATTGTTACATACAACAACGATATTTAAAAAATTAAATTTTTTTTTACGATAAGTTTTTGTGCGTTGATAAAAGCTATAAAATCTATGAATACCATGTAAAAAGTATACTCATCATTAATCATAAAAAAATTAATTGTTCATTTAATAAAAATTTTTGTGAAAATTTTTGTGAAAATTTTTCAGCAATGTCGATCTAATAAGCCGATTTTTTACAAAACATGCCCGTTGTGATCTTATTTTCTTTTGCATGCATAAGAAATAGTCAAATAGTGAATATCAGTTTAAAGGCATACTTTTTGTTGACGAATAAAGTCGTCGGAATATTTACACACGTGCAGCAGCTCACTTTGTCATGTTTGAAATGAGTTAACTTGCAGGGCAAGGGGGAAGTGGCGATGAGTGAAGACTCAGCACTCTGCACTGTCTGCTGCGTCGGTTACGGCAGCGTATGTGTATATTTGTAATGTATTTGCGCTAAAGATGTAAGTATTTGATTTTTATTCGTTATAACAATGTAATAAAAATGAGTAAATAATTAAAAAGACTTGTGACGGATATATGTACATACAATTATATTCGTAGCTAATGTAAATAAAATTCTTGAATTTGTATGTGACTTGAAAAGTCTCATTGGAAGTGATATGTTAAATAATTAGGACATACTCTAGTCTCTACGATTACTACAAGCATGTAATTTTGTTATCGCGTGTAAAAAAATTGTATCGTAAAAAAATTACAAATTAAAAATTTTACTAAGAAAAATAAATATGTGTTATTATAATACAATGTTTTGTTATGGGTACGGGTGGAACCTATGTACATACATTCACACACATATAGAAGCTTATGTTTTATACAGAAATACATAAATATCTACCATAATATTCAAATATTTACTGAAATGTACGTCCTGGAACATTTTGAATTTCCCGCTTCTTGCGACGTTGCCGTTACGTTTTTGTCGAACTATTATTTAATTTTTTTATTCATAAACTAATCAGACGATCGTCACGAAACTTTTTATACATATAGTTGATAACATTATCTGTGACATATAAAAAAATTGGAGACATTCATCACGCCAATTTTTTTAAAACCGAGTTTTTATAAGTTTCCCCATAAGCGACCGTGTTAGAATGACTGAACTTTGAAATTCAATATCTCGGAAACGAAACAGACGAACCTCTTGAAATTTTAACAGCTTTATTGTAACAACAATAAGAACGTCTGGTTACAATTTCAAAAAGATTCATCACAGGGTTCTATCTCTACCGAACGTCCTTAAAAATCGGTTATCATGGATATGTAAAACATGTGTGTACAGGTAGTTGCTATTAATAAATAGGATATGTACTTTCGCTGTTCAAATAGTCCAAAATGTATTTCTATTTCTTTTATTGTTACTATGCGACCCTTCCCCACTTTTTTATCAAAGGGGGAATTAGAGGATAAGAAATCTATAATTTACCAAATACACGTGGTACTCCAGTATAGGTAGGTAAGTAAACGTATACCTATAGAGCGAAGGCCGGCAAAGGTTTTTTGTATATATACTAGTATACGTGGCCATATATGTTTACTACGAATGTTTACCCGTGTGTATAAAAACGTAAGCACTTAAGCAGGTATATGCACGTGTTCGAACTTCGAAGGTCGAACAAGAGAATACGTGTTTCAACTTGGCATCCCGTCGTTCGTGGCATTCAAGTACTTGATTTCAGAGTGTTATCAATTTATTTTTATTCTTCATGTTTACTTAGTAGTACAAAGTGAAAGACTTTATAGTTCAGCGAGAAGAAAAGTGCGTCCGTTTACTGACAAAAGTTGACGAACAATAAAACATGATAAGTACCTAATTTGTCAATTTTGCAGGACAAAGAGAGAGTCCACGGAGAGGACGAGAGGAGGGTGAGCTGACCGCTGCTCTGCTGCAACCTGAACAACCTTGCAAATAGGTACTTTTGTAAGTAATCTTGCATGTTATTCTCACATAATTACGACAATATTCGAAATTTTGCTTTGCGGATTAAACCAATTAAGTACCTAAACTTGTTATTTTTTTTTCTGCACACGAAAGAATTCATCAGTGCATGTCCGCAATGCCAGTGTTTTCAAAAACATTCGATTAACATTTTTTATTTTGAAGCAAAGTACGGTGTAAATTGATGATTCTTGCTTGTTCTTGGAACTTCATTATTTTGCTAGTGTCAATTCGGTTGTATGTCAGCGTTTATCTAAAACACATTTCGCTTTTGAAAAGTCATTTGGATCAAATGAGGTTCAGAAACTGTCATTTTCTTTTGTTCTTTCTTACTTTCTACCTTGTCGGCTTTTCATGTTTTTGCCGCGTGACTTGTTAAACTGTGTTTAGAAGAGTATGTGCATGCTAAAAAAAGGCTTCCTGGTTATATATATATATATATATGTATTTTGTTAAATTTAAGAAATTCTATAGTGCACAAACATGTATGACTGTTATTTGGATAAGTAATTCTTATCTTTCTGATTAATTTTTTTTACAATTTTAATTATAAACATACCAATTATTGGCACAGAATTGCAGCCATGGATTTGGTAAAGTTTTTTGGAAAAAACTTGGAACTTCAAAGGCAGCCTTTGCAGCCATTAAGGACCCCCTCCGAAGTGAGCGATGGGTCCTTTATTATGTCAGCTCCAATGATGCAAGACAGAACTTACTTAAGTGGAAAAGACTATGCTCGAAAATATGTGGAGCAAGAAAATCAAATTGCTCTGGAGGTGTGAAATCTTTCCCAAAACTTTTCTTCTCTCACTGGTTGATACAAATGAAATTAAACACTTTCTTTTGTTTAATTTTAGGCAGCTAAGGTAACAGGCCCACCGATGAGTCAAGGAAAAATGGATGAGATATCAGTTGGAACTGTTCCAACAAACGTTACGGAAATTGTAAATGAAAGAGCTGTAGATGCTATGAGCAATTTTAACTTTCAGCATCGATCTCAAGAAAATCTACCTATTTTTAGTTATCGAGATGAAATTGTAAAGACTATACAAACCCATGCTGTGACAATCATTGAAGGTTCCACTGGATGTGGTAAATCTACTCAAGTGCCACAGTTTATTTTAGACAGCTATCACAATCAAAAAAAGTTTTGTAACATTGTTGGTGAGTCTTAACTTGAGTTACTAACACCTGTTATTAATTTTTCTTATACAACTTTTTTTATTTTTTCAGTATGTCAACCACGAAGAATAGCCGCACTCAGTATTGCTACAAGAGTTGCTCAGGAAAGAAAATGGAAGTTGGGCTCACTTGTTGGTTGTCAAGTTGGAATGTATAAAAATACGTCCCAAGACACAAGATTAACTTACTGCACAACTGGAATTCTTCTTAGGAAACTAATCTCTACAAAAAATATGCTTGACTTCACACATGTAATCTTGGATGAAGTTCACGAACGAGATCAGGAGATGGATTTTCTCATACTGGTCATCAGAAAATTATTAAGATCAAATTCACGATCAACAAAAGTTATATTGATGTCAGCTACCTTTAATGTGGACAAGTTTGCAAATTACTTTGCTTTTCCAACTGAAACAGGATTCATAGATGCTCCCGTTGTTTCTGTTTCGAAAAAGCGTAAATTCAAAATACACACTCACTACCTTTGCCAATTGGACAGTCTTGGGGTGGTGCGTAGGATAATTATTTATTAAATATTTAAATTCATAATTCTAGTGTTTTCTTGATTCAATACATATGTTCCGTTTTTCTTCATTTTTTTCAGATGCCTGAAGTTTCCTATGAAGAGCCAAAAGTTACTGAAAAAATGATACAATTTTGTGTTAGGCTGATAAATATTTTTGATGACATTGATATGAAAAATGATTACGATCCAGAAGATCTTGAAGATAATGGAGAAAAACCAAGACCAGCAGTTTTGGTATTCTTACCTGGAATTTGGGAAATTGAAGAAATGCACAGTCTAATGCATCCGCACAGTGAAAAGTCAAAGTGGGATATTGTAGTTTTGCATTCAAGCATCACTAATGAAGAGCAAAGTAAAGTATTCACATCTCCACCAAGGGGGTACCGTCGTATTATACTATCAACAAATATTGCTGAGAGTAGTATTACCATTCAAGACGTTCGATATGGTAAATTAAACTTTTAAGCTATTTGGTCCTCCTAAGAGTATTAAAAGCAATGAGAATTTTTTATTTCTTTAGTTATTGACTTTTGTTTGACAAAGCAACTTATCACGGACCCAAGTACCAATTTCCAATGTTTGGAGTTGACTTGGGCAAGCAAAGCTAACTGCGACCAACGAGCTGGACGTGCCGGTCGTGTTATGGATGGTCGTGTGTATCGACTTGTTTCCAAAAAGTTCTATGAAGAGGTATGATTCTCGATACTTGAGAAATTTCCTTGTCAATGTGATTTATTGTGATATTTTTACAGCAACTTCAAGCTGAAAATGAACCAGAAATCGCTCGATCCCCTCTTGACAAGTTAGTTCTTCAAACAAAGCTGCTGGACATGGGCGAGCCGAAAGCTGTACTGGCTTTAGCCATTGATCCACCAGATCTGTCAAATCTCGAACGTACCGTATTGTTACTTAAGGAAGTGGGAGGTCTTGTAGACAAACCAGGAGAAGTAAATAGAGTTGACGGTCACTTGACAGATTTGGGTAAAATCATGGCAAATTTGCCAGTTGACGTTCACCTTTCTAAGCTGATGGCCCTTGGACATGCATTTAATGTTCTTAGAGATACGATCATAATGGCTGCCAGTATGGCTCTCAAGAGTATGTTTAGCAATCCTTTTCAGAAGCGTATGGAAGCCTACAAAGCCAAAGTGCACTGGGCTGATGGATCTTCCAGTGATTCCATGGCTTTTCTCAATGCTTATCGCGTTTGGCAGCACGAGATCACAGCTAATCGAATCAAGCGTAAAACACGCAGTGAACAAGACTGGGCCAAACGTAACTTCATTCAAATAAGAGTAATGCACGAAGTAGACTATATGGTAGGTGAATTAACGCAACGACTTGAAAGGCTTGGCATCAAGGAGACGACAGGTTTAAAAAAGCTTGTTATTGACGATCTGGATCGAAGTTTTGTCCTGAAGATAGTTATAGCGGGGGCCTTTTATCCAAATTACTTTATCCGAAGCCAGTCTGGCTACTTTGAGAACGATGGCACTTACGGTGCTCGGGGACTGGGTGGCCTTGATCCTACACGTACCGTGTATCTTCAAGGCTGGAAAATGGACCATCCTGGTAAGCTTTATGCCAAAAGAATCCAAGAATTATTCAAAGACATTGTTCCCTCGCACGAACAAGCACTTGTTGAGTTTGATGGGTCAAGTCGAATTTACATCATGTTCAGTGATGAAAAGTTTTATGGACATGAGAAAAAAATGAACGAAATGCCTGGAAAGATATCTCCGTCCGTGTACAAAGCTTTGAAAATGAGAAAACTAGGCATGGAAATCAGCGTACCTGTGTTGGATGTCAAAAGTGCTAAAAAGGTAAAATGTCTTTCACTTGTAATTTTCATTTTATTTCGTAATCATCAAATCAAATTTCATAAGCTCAAACGTAATTATATGACATTCTAGTTAATAAAGAAAACTGATTAATTTCACGATAAACGTTACAGATGGCTGAAAAGCTGGATCTTCCAACAACAACTTGCAGTATGTTCTACAGCCAAGATAACTTTAATGCTTTAAAAAAATGTCTACCAAAAACTTTACCAAATTTACCGGATTTATCAACAAAAATTATGGCTATTTGCATTGTTAATTTTATTGACCCTGGTAAGTTTTGGGTGCACTTGCGGGACAACAGAGTCATCTCGGATCAAATCACCAAAATTAGGAATCACCTGAACGACCCAGAATTAACTCCAAAAACACTTGAACCAGTAAACAGAAAGCTTAAGGTGGGTGAACTTGTCGCAGCTCCATGGAAAGACCAAAAAGTATATCGAGCAGTTGTCGAAAGTTTTTACGAGATCAAGAAAGAGGATGTTGCGAATCTTCTGTACATTGATTTTGGCTATCGATGTTCAGTGCGCTGTGCTAATCTTCAGCTTATTAAAGAAACTTCTGAAATAGCTACAATAAAGGGTTTAGCTCTAGAATGTACGCTTACCGGCATAGAGCCTTCAAGAAGAAAGAACGCGAAGGGCAAATGGTGTCGAGAAGCCGTTAATCTGTTTAGGAGTTATGCAGCAACTGATCGATACGTAGTGTATGGTGAAATATATTCCATTGTCGACAGCGTAATCTCCATAGTATTGATGTGCCAAGATCCGCACAATCGCAGAAACTTAATCAATTTAAATGATGAACTCGAGCGAGAAGGTCTAGCTGATCCAGTAGAGGAAAACTACTTGTCGAAATACAACCACCAACTGAGAACGAAAGGTGCTCAGTCCAGTGCCCATCACCGTCAATACTTAGAATTCCTACAGTATGACAAGAATTTCTTGATAAGTTCATATCCGGATCCTCCACCCGTGAACGACTGTAATTTTAATATGTTGTTAAAAGGACCTAATTCACCACTTGAAATTAACTTGTCTAGTCTTGCGATCGTCGCAGCAAGTAAGTCTGTTGTTGTTGAGGGCGGATCAGTAAATTCTGTACTGGTGGACACAAATCCCGAGGATCCACATGATCGTTTACTCGTATCTTCGCTCGTCAGTCAAAATCAATCATCGACTACCTTGACGTTACGCAACACCACTCTTATGCCCAACATACCAGGCTTGACCGCTTTATTGTGCTTGATTTTTACTCCTAAGATGGAACTAAGGAGAAGCTCTGGTGGAACGTATTACGTCGGAGCTCTGTGCGGATTAGGATACGATCCAAAAAATAATGCACCGTTGTTACCTGAACACGATATGGAAGTATGTTTTGATACTGAAGTCAGCATACAGGATTTGCAAAATGTAAGCAAGGATTTTTTCATACTCTTGTTCATACATCATTTTGAATTGTGATAATTAACAATAATTCATATTTTATAATTTTTTTTTTTTTTTGCAGATAAATAGATTGAGACATTGGATTAACTTGGCCATTAACATCAAAAAAGATGAGAATGACAATAATGAAGATCAAGCTATATTCTGTCAAAAAAAAGTTTATATGTTTTTAACAAATTTGACCGATCATCCCACCAAGTCTCAACAAAAGCAGAAAATTCTTAACTTTGGAGGCTGGAATATGTATGATGATTCCTTGTTTATACGCCCAACAAAGAGTGTCATTAAAGACGATAGTATTTATCCTTTGCATAATGCTTTGTCACTGGAGGATCGTAATGAAATCGCTGAAGAGATGTTTCATCACATCAAAGAATTGAGGCAGTTGGCTATGTCGTAAGATTTCAATGTAGTTTTTAAAAAGATTTTTTATTTTTTTTCGTTGAGTAAAAATTTGTTCACTTCATTTCAGTGATCCAAGGATTTCGGATAAAATTGAGATTGAGTGCAAGTTGTGCGAAGAGATTATGTACACACGGGAAGATCTAAGACTGCATTTATTTTTAGAAAAACACAGGAATAATGAATCAAAGTTAAATTTAAATTCATACTAAACTACTATTAGAAATAAGGTAATATTAATTCTTAATATATTGTAAGTCTTAATTATATATATTGTATAATTTTGTAATACTTTTTCAACTTTTTTTAAGTAAACTGAAGAATATATTGTAAGTAAGGTACATACAAAAATCTCAAGGATTGCCTAAAGTCTAAATAATTGTAAGCTTATTTTCTATTTTAATTCAAATTCGTATATTTTTTGACAGAAAAGAGAGAATAAATTTGTTCAATAACTTAACTTGTTGAAAAATTCTTGAAAATAACACATGATACAAGTACACTTTGTACCAAGTGTACGTAAATAAAATTCTCTGTGCTTATAAATATTATTGTGAAATATGATACAGATAAATATTGCATACGATTTTTCAAACATCTCTTTGAATATACCGAGGTCCAGTAGGTTGAGTGTACAAAAGTCGCCCTGGTGCCGGTGCGCCGGCAACACTTACGTATGTACCTGATGGGTGTGGTGGATACGGATTTTGTGGAGGTGGTGGCTGCGGCGCCCTAACCGGATAGCCACTAGTTATGCCACCTGTCTTGGCCCCCTGAATAAATCAATATTTTTTAATCACGCTTGATATCCAAATAAACAGCTAAGTATCTCAATTAAAAACAAAAAATACTGTAAGCATACCTGTGGAGGTTGTTGAATTGGAATTGCTCCACCGTGAACGGCCACATGGCTTCCAGGGCGTGGATAAAATTTGTCCTCCGTGTATGGGGCTTTTCAAATACACGCAATTAAAATACAAGTACAATTAATGTTAAATTAATATTGTGAAGTAACATTACATGTTTGAACTGTTGGAAGCGGTGTTCGAGTAGCCGTGAGGTAGACAGGTTTCCCAGATTCGGGTAGTCTGTTGGTTTGCGACGTGGGCGGACAAAAATCGTAAGTTCCAGGTGGATAATAACTTGAGCTAGTAAACTGGCTCGGTGACTCTGAAGTAAACGTTCAATTATTAGTTCAGAAATTAATTTTACAAGTTACGAAAAATAATCTGTATTGTGAAATGTAGGTGTTTCGGTTAATTCATAACTTGGGTTTGTATGTTAGATTTGCAGAGTAATTCGTAAATTATGCAAATTGACATCGTGACTGATACAGAATGTTTGATTTTTGTTGATAGAATCAGTCATTTTTAATTCAGCACTTACTGTTCCAAAGAACAACTCGAGCATCACCAGATCTCCTAGCTGCATCTTCCGACTCTGTAAAAATACGATCACGTGTCTTTAGTCCTGTACTAATTGTTTGGACATAAGAAAATAACTTTTTAGCAAATTACTATAAATTGAATATAATAAAATAAACTTGTATTTTACTTGATGGAGTTGGAATATAACTTGGCATAGACAGAGGTGGCTTATAACCATAACCAGGATGGTATACTGTTGGTGCTGATGGTGGAGGCGATGGGCTGTGTGAGCGTTTTACAGGACCCTGTTGATAAATTGGAAAATTTGAAATTTACTTGTCTGTAGCATGTAATTAAAGACTTTCTTTCACAAAAATTTGAATATTTACACTTGAAAGTAAAGTGTGAGAGGGTGTAACTGCTGCAACTTTATAAATAGGACTTCTTGTTGGATGCGGTATGTACAGGTGAGGGTGAACAACAGTAGCCTCGGGATATCCTCCAATTTGATGCATTGGCTCTGAAGAAACTCTGAAAATACATTGTTTCTTAAAATATTCGTAATAAGATTAAATTACAAATGTATATCTGAAAAGCATACATTGTTTCTTTGTACAGTCTTTTTCTATTATCATCTTCGTGTAGAACTTTTTTCAATTGTCCAAACAGCTCATGCTTCTCCTTCCTTAGGTCTTCTAGTTCTCTTTCAACCTGAGCAATCTGTTCTCTAGTCTCACCTATTGTCATGACATTCTGCTTTTGTTTGGTCTCCCTTTCCTTTCTCTGTCTTTCCTCTTCTTCGTCAGCCTCTTGCTCTAAAAAATGCATGAATATTCTTTAAAGAAATATCCTTGAAAAACATTTAATTGAATTTTATACCTTGTTTTTTGCGTTGCCTCTCCCGCATAATGTGAATCTTGAGAGCTTGCCGCATGCGTTCGTTACGTTGGTTACTGCCAGCAACAACGGCTGGCATTTTCACTGAAGTATTGTTGGAAGTCAGGGTGGCTATCACTTAATATTCACTGTTTACCCGAACTTATGACCAATTAACTAGCTTAACGGGACTGCTTACGGGGCCCGAGTGTATTAATAATTAATAACTGCTGAAAGTGACGTGTTGTCGATATCTACAGAAAAACAGTAATAAGTACGATGATTCACAGAACTTTAGAGACATAGGCCCGAAAAAGAAGGTTATACCCACCGACAACATTTGTTCTGTAAGTGTAAGTTGAACTTGAAAGCTCAAAAAATCTGATGAAAGTTACAATTTAATATCGCTGAAAGTGTCATATTTGTGGTTATATTTTGGAGTCGCACAATGGCGTCAGTACGGAGTGGCAGACGACTCTTTCTTGCAGCTGTCATTTTTTTGTTTTTTTTTTCCCTCTTATTCGCTCATTTCCCCTCTCTCGAGTTTTACGCGGCCTCAGCTCAAAAATAAAATTCCCTGCAAATTCTTTTTTCCTACACACCCAATTTTGCTTCATTTAATTTTAGTAAAAATACTCTGATGATTATATTTTATTTATGTTGAAATCCTTATAGTACATTATGTTAGAGGGCCAAGTACTCATTCTAACTGAATTTCTTTCAAATGATTATGATACAAATCAATTGGAGCCAATTATTTTACATATGTGCTAGTAATAACCGTAGCAATAAGTTGTAAAAATGTTTAAAAAATAAACAAAATAGCACACGATTCATCATCATAATAGATAATTAACAATAATGTATGGTAAATTCGTAGATATAGGAGAAAAGAGACAACAGAACAGAGTGCAGTGTATATATATATATATATACCTTATTTTATCGAGAGAAAGTATATATATATATGTATATACAGTCATGCATTCATTTAGATGACAATACAAGTTTACAAGTCATATAAGTTGTACGCATATGTAACTTGCATTATTCTGTATACTTACACGTATAATTAGCGGCGCGAATAAGTAGAAGACGTTGATAAGAATAGTGATAAAGAATATCTATAGATACACGTCACTGTTCGCAATAGTAAGATTCCCTGATTGACAAGCATCAGAGCCGGCGTCTCTTAGTCTGCCTGCGGTACGACGACGACGAGGTCGACGAGCGTCGAGACAGAAAAAGAGAAAAGTCACGCAGACACATCGACGTCGTAGACCATTAAGAAAGATAAGAACTTATTTGGTGCGTGGTTGGATCTATTTTAATGGGGAACATGAAGAAAATCGTGATTTTCGGTGCAACAGGGATGACCGGTTCGTGCTCGCTCGAGCATGCCGTCAAAGCAGGTAAAGTTATTTTACTTTTAAAACTAAAGAATCGATTTTAACGATTTGTTCGTGTTTTGCCTTTCCTTGGCCAAGTTCATTTTTATCGTTTTCATGCCGGAGTGCAAGTCATTTTACGCCTCTTCATGTATGAAATAACATGCAAATTGCAAGCTCAATTGGGCTACTGGTTTTCGTGCGATAAGAAATGGGATGAATATAAAAAAAAGCGTTTTGTAATACCCTGTAATGTATGCTATTTAAAACTTATTTTTTTGTTTTTATAATATCCCATAACATATTGCTTGATATTTAAGCTGACTTTGACTTTGAATTAATATTGACTTGACTAACATTTCCTCAAGGTCTCAAGACAAGAGCATTTGTTAGGGATGAGAACAAAGTTCCTGAACACCTCAAAGACAAGGTTGAAATTTTCGTTGGAGACGTGACGAATGCTGAACAGGTGTCACACGCTGTATCTGACATGGATGGTGTTGTTGTTGTACTTGGAACTAGAAATGATTTGAGTATGTTCTTCGTTTTATTTGAATCAGATGTGAAAGTTGATGTGTCAATCTATTAATTGGTATTTTTACAGAACCAACAACTGTTTTGTCTGATGGTATGAAAAATATCATCAGTGCCATGAAGAAGCATAATGTTCAGATCGTTTCCGTTTGCTTATCAGGTAAATTGAAAGTTTTTGTTTTCAATTTACAAGATTATATACATTTCTGAATTCATATTATATTTTTTTAAATGGACTTTTAGCATTTTTATTCCGTGAGCCTGAAAAAGTTCCTGTAATTTTCAAAGATTTAAATGCAGATCACCAAAGGATGTTTGACCTCGTCAAAGCATGTGGATTGAATTGGATTGCCTGTTTGCCACCTCATATAACAGGTAATTGTAATTGTCAATATTAAATTATTTATTTATTTTCTTTGAAATGATAATTTTTCTTTATTACAGAGTTGCCTGCGAGTCCGAAATATACAATTGAGTATGACAAGTCACCAGGACCAGCCATCTCCAAACATGACCTGGGTGAATTTTTAATAAAGAGTTTGGATCAACCAGAACATTATCAGAAAGTTTGTGGTATAGCAACTTGTTCTTGATTTGCAAAAATGAATATTAATGAACTGAAAGTGCCATGCACAAAATTTTTGCACGTTTAGGTTGTGCAGTTTTTTAAAAGAGAGTATATCTAGTATTACATAAGATTTCTGAGAAATAATACTTTATACAAAAAAAAAGAAAACAAATGTTTTTTACTCAAAAATACATGCTTTGGTCATGTGTGACTTTATAAGTGTTCTTAAAAGATATTTTTAAAGTATTTACAACAAATAATAATATTTGTTATATAATTGTACTTTTTGTCAGGGCTCTAATTTTTTCATCATAAATGTTCGTTTAGGAATAGTCAAAAAAATTTGTGGAATCAATCTGTTGAAATTTGGTGGCATTGGAGGCGGAGGAGGTCCTGCTGGCATCATTTCACTTGATTTTAACTTTGAATTACTTTTTTCGCTTGAATATGCATTCGTGTTAAAGTCTCTGTATCCATTTAACTGAGGTACAGGTTCACATATAACGTATCCATTTTTTAAGTAGAATCCCTCCTGACCTTTTGTTGTGAGATACACATTTCTAATACCTCTTTTATACACATAATCTTCTGTTGCTTGCAGTAGCATCGATCCTAGTCCTTGAGATCTACAGGTGTGATCAATTATAACTAAAACAACACATGACCAATTACTTTCCCAATACATTTATATTTATTATGTTTTGCAGATTGTTTCGTTAAATTAAAAAGTGATTTGTTTACGTGATTCTAAAATAACGCCATCCTGAGAGTTATTCACCAAAGAGACTTTGCAGTGACCAACGACATCATCTTTGTGAAGTAATATTAGACACACAGGAAATTTATCACAGGATGCCTCGAGACTTCTCAACCTGTCAACAGGATGAAAACTATCAGTGGTTTGTCTTCTCTGATTAACATTAATTACCTTTTCTGAGTATTTTTAATGAAAAGAAAAATAACAAAGATTGTCGATGGTGATGAGAGACGAAGCGTAAGAATAGAGTAGGCAAATGTGCAGAGAGAAGCAAAATTAACTGAAAAAAGAAGCGATTAAGCTTTGCGTGCTAAGTTTTTACCTTTTTCTCTAACATACCGTGCGGTTTCGCTCCGTTTCCATTCAGAGTTTAGAAGTTTGCAGCATTGCTGTAGTAAATCGGGCCGCTTATGAAGTTGAACTAAGTTATAGCGGGTATCTTTCATTATTTCTCTGGAAAGCAGGTAAATCAAAGAAAACCATCACATCTACTTGATGCATACATGCTATGCTTAACTCTAGAAGTACTTTTGCATTAGAGTACGTTTTACTTAGGCATCTAAGGTTGGATGTAAAAAATAAGTTATACTAATCACACAATTTGGGAAATTGAAAAATGAATAATTTATTGTACTTCTAGTGTTATTTTCTAAATGTTTTAATGTAAAAGACTTCACACATTGTTTGTCTTAGCTATTACCTAATCATTCATAAACAACAAAAAACGTCTAATATGCACACAGTGTAAAAAAAGAAACTTATAAAGTAGTCTGCAGAAGAAATTTTATATTTTTTCAAAGGTTTATGACACAGTAAAAGAGATTCTTACAAAATCAAAGCTCGTCAATGGAATATTTTTACTCCACTTTATAGTTTCCTATGCTTCAGAAATACGCAAAAAAAACTTTATAAATGAATGCGACATATTCAAAATTTCTCATCACAAGAGCCATTTAAATTATGAATCGTTCAAGTGCCAATTCAACCAAGCCCGCGCGTATCCCACATAGTAGTACCTACACAAGAGTAAGAAAATCATGAAGACACAGACTCTCTATACAAGCTATAGCTGCTGGCCTATTTTTATCATCCAAACAGATGAGACACACACGCCTACTTGGGTGTTAAGCATACATACACTCCTTTGGTTGAATTAAATCACTGGGTGACGTTTTCGCCTTGAACCAACACTTGACACTGCGTCTGTATTACTATTTTTTGTCATCCGTACACAGACACACCTTCAAGTAATTCATGAGTTCATTCAGTCGGAAAGTGCAGCACATAATACATAGGTGCTAACTGCTACATTTACAATTAACACACACACACACCGTGACTGTTCAAATTAAAGTCGCGCTTGGAAAATTTATAAGCTTTGCAATATGAACATTTGTTAAAGCTAGAGGGTATTAATAGCACCTCTGTAACAAAAAAATTAATCTGGGTAATGTGGAGCTAGCAAAAATCATACAAAATCCCTATAAAAGCTGGGATTCTACTATTCATGTCATGTGTATCTGGACATTTTTTGGAATAACTAAATTCGATCGATTTGAACATGTAACATGATCATTCTTATATTTACCTGGCGCAGTCTTATGAAGTGCCGTCCAACAGAGTGAAAAATTCGAGTATTTGACTCTACGAATATGCTTTACCTCATCACTATATTATTTTGGAGTTTGGAGTCTTGACTAATACACACACTCGGTGGCTCGGTGTAATATACCACTGGAGAATACGTCATCAACTCTCTTCTAAATTGACAGATAAACTATATCGCGTTTGGCCAAATTGTATCTTCATCAACTTGTTTCTCCGCCCACACGTTCGCAGATATATCTGAAAAGTTTAGCAGAGAGAGAAAATACTTGTAAATTGCCGAAATAAGATGCGGCGCATGAGCCTCTTTCTGCCTCCCCCCCGATATGCTCCGATTTCAGCACAAAAAGCAAAGGTAGCGCTGTAGTCGCAGTGTTTACGGTTGTGTCGGTTGTTTAACTTATGCGGCAGCAGTCGATATTTACTTTTACGTTCGAAACGAAGTGTCAGTGGTCATCAGTGCAGTGTTTTGAGTTCTTTATACTTAATTAAGTTGTATTTGAGAATAGTGAACAACCAAGATGATTCCCCAACGTTTACCTCCAGCACCTGGTAATTGTGAATTTCACCTGTTTTTTTCTCGTTTAATTCACGTTAAGTTCTTGATTTCGTACGAATAACCTCTACTATTACTCTACTGTTTGAAATTTTATTTTTAAACTATCCAATGCAAACAAAGATAACTTAGATTTTAAATATCTTTAGAAAATCCCTTGGGACTTTCCTGGCACGACAGCGCTTGGATTCCCATACTTAATCCAAACAACATCATGGAATATTTTTCTGAAAGATCGAATCCATTCTACGACAGAACTTGCAACAATGAAAACATTAAAATGCAAAGGCTTAATCCGGACCAACTATCGTAAGTAATACTTTTGATTCTAATCTTTTACGTGATGAATGGTTGTGTTGTTAAAATGACGTATAATTGTTCAGAAATATGGTTGGTCTGGAGTACATACTCTTGCATGTGCAGGAGCCAATTTTATACGTGATACGCAAGCAACACAGGCATGGTCCTGGTCCTACTCAAGCAACACCGATAGCTGATTACTACATAATTGCAGGAATTGTTTATCAAGCACCTGACTTAGCATCCGTAGTGAATTCCAGACTGGTTGGTGTTACAAAATACAAATAGCCCTATGTAAAAATTTCATGGACTTACTTCATTATTTATTTTAGTTGACTACCGTTAATCATTTGCAATCTGCCTTTGAAGAAGCTAGTGCATGCTCTAGGTATCATCCTAACAAAGGATACTCGTGGGACTTTAAAAATGGCAAGACTGCAGCCACCAAAAAAGAAACTCCCATCAGAGAAGAACCTAGCACGCTTTTCCAGCGGCAAAGAGTTGATCAACTTTTGTACCAGTTAGTCAAGAAATTTCCACAACCAACTCCCAAGTTTCATCAAGCTGCCATTGAGCCTGGTATGTTGATTCAATGACTTCTTGTCAAGTATTTGTTTTCCTAGTTTTTATATGTCTTTACGTTTTGTTTCTAGCCACACAAATTAAGCAAGAACCCCAGACAGATAAAAAAGATATGAGGCCACCACCGGAGAAGAAGCCGAGGATAAATTAGACTAAGACTCGTCATTTTTAGTTGAATTAATATTTGAATGTTGTCTAAGTGTAAAATAGATTTATGACAGGGATGCCAAGTGATTGTAAATTAATGAGTGACATATTTGATACTGAGTGAAAAGCACTGAAAATAATAAACATATTTTTACCTTATCACAAGAAAACTTTTTTATTTTTTCTTCTTACACCAGGGACAGTCAGGATCGTCGGCATCATCTATTGCAGGTTTTTTCGATTTCCGTTTCCATTTTTTATTGAGTTGATACTCGCAATATGAATCTATTATTTTATGACAAGAGTCGGAATAAGTGTTAGGGCACACTATTGGTTGTCGAGATGATGACGTACTTTTGTAGTATCGCGCAAAATATGTCGAGTTATTGGAAAAATTTTTAAAAAGAGTTACGAATTTCATGATTTACACTCAATAATATGAAAATTTAGCGAAAACAGTTAAACCATATGGTCAGTGAAAGGTTTGTACTTATAATTTTAATCCAAAGAGCCCTGTCAATTTTCAAAACAACTAACTTCATTTGTTTTGTAGTTGTTTAGTATTTTCATTGAACGTAAAAACACTAGTGATGAAAAATGACTTAAAAAATCATGTTTATAAATTTAATGCAAAAAATATACTATGACATCAGGCAAATGTTTGTGCAATGAAACTTCCGAAGACTACAGCAGTGTTGACGATGACGACGACGATTATTTATCGACTTTGAATCCTCAGGAGTTTGAAGACTTTGTCCAAGAAATTCTACATTACAAGTGCAAAGTAGTCCGATTGGCGCACGAACAAATAAACAAATTGAGGAAAAGACAAGTAAATAAATATTTGAGGATGTTGAAAAATTTCTTTTTCTACTCGTACATAACGCGTATCAACGGGAATTTGTAATTTTAATGTATTCTTGTCAAAACGATTTTGGAATCACTGATTGCGATTGGTTATGTTTTTTTTAGTGCGTATATATCCACCGCCTTGAAAAGCAAATTTTTCAATGTCCTTTTTTACGAGTCAAAGAAAAAGAAATAAAATTGTTTGTGAAGAATTCCGTTTGATTTTAGATTGGTTTATTATCAGGGCTTGAAAAAGCTTCGCGAAATAATGACGAGAAAGGCAAGAACGCGGCAATCACGAGGAGAAAGAGAGAGGCCGGGACGTGTACTGCAAACAACGATACGACGGTTCCACAGGAGAACACGGAAAACCTGTTGCAAAGGATCCGAAGATTTGTACGTTCGCATCCGATAATCGTAATGTTAGCCTTATTGTACTTGATAGTGACTATATACGTAGGTTATACCATTTGCAAGCACATTGGCACGTTTTGCTCCAGGGGTGGCTTTTGCATTCCCCTTTATTTAAACAAACCATCCCGACCACGACCCTTTTGACAATAAATTAAAAAATAATGTCTGTATCTTTAGGTTTTCTATTACTAAATATAATCATCGTGTCGCAAGAGAAAAATATAAATAGTATGTAAGTTTAACTTTAAACTTATTTAACTAAAGTAGCGATTTGTAACATATAATATATTTTTCAATAGTTTTTCTAATAATACCAATTACGTATGAACAAAGTTGAAATTTTTTTCTTCAATGAACAAATCATACATTTGTTTTTGATTAAAGGGAATCCTGTAATACAATAAACATGTACCGATGAGATAAAAAACAAAATATTTAAATTCTCAAACATTATAGAATGAATAAACATTGTAGAAAGAAAATGGTTATTTGAATTAAAAAGTTTCGGTTTTAAACAAAAATAAATATTTTTGAAATAGAAAAATGTATTATAAATACTGCAGAAAAGTACCCCAACTAAAAAAAAAATTCTCTATCCTACAGAAAAAATGTTCTTAAGTTATGAGATTTATGAACAAGAGAAAAAAAACTCAAAAATTTTTTAGTAAAGCTTTGTCATAATTTTATTCATAGTTTTTCGCGTTTTATACATTAGTTCTCTCTCTCTCTCTCGTCTTAATTTTTATTTTCAAAAAGTCGATTTTGCTTCCAGATCTACAAACAACATTTTAATTCTGTGGCGTGGGCGTATGTAAAGTTTATAGACAAAACTAAACAGCAACATACAAACAATGTTGAAAATCCCTTCAACACTCCTCGGTACAACTATCTACTTGACTACACTACTTATATAAATACAGTTCTCGAATCATCGATCATTAAGTCTTACATTTTTAGTTTTGGTCTAGAAAAAAATAAAAATTTCGACCTCATTCAACGGAAAAAAAAAAATAATGACAACTACGACACTTTATATACACAATATAGTTTTTATTACTTGTCTTATTGTAAGTTTAATTATCATCAAAAATCTAAAAGGAACAATATGGAAAATTTTATTTTCCACGACCTGTCGAAGGATCAAACAAGCTCTATGAAAAAAAATAAATTTTTATTTTTTTACAACGTTTTGCAGCTTAATACACTTACAATTAAATTTTTTCTTTCGTCTTACATTGCTAAAAATTGATAAAATTAAAAAAAAAAAAACATTTGTGTACATGCTATTTTGTTCAAAAACACTTCTCGACACAAAATATATCAAACTCGGATTACTTAATACATCGTTGTATTGTATCATAAAGTTTTCTATCCACTCATACTCTTGTATAACTTTTTTTATTTTTATTTTCCTGCCAACCACAGGCAACCAGCAACGCGACATTTCTTTGAAAAAAAAAAAAAAAAAAAAATCATCGCCTGTGGGCTATCTCTATAATCTTATACTTTATAACGCACACGTCTCGCAGTCGTCCACCGCTCCTGGGAACAAAATAACGTATCGCGTGCGTATAGGAATGTGCAAGTTGTAAACGCAATCACATACTTTGCATTGAAGTCATGACATGTGTGTACATGGAGCTAACAAGAGGGGGAGGGGGGGGGCGGTCAGAATAGGCTCTGCTTTTTTTTTTGCACGTATTTCAGTCCAGTTTTTCAATGTTTATTTTTATTTATTTTTTTTAATTTATTAAAATTTATTTATACTTATAATCTCTAAGTTTCTTTATTCAGCAGCTCGCGCGTTCAGTCATCGGAGATATATATATATATTTATAATTATGTGACTTTCGAGCGAGCGCAGTCTTGAGTCTTGACTCGCCGCCTATACCTACTTATTACAAGCTCCCGTCACGCGAGCTGCTTTATTTTATTATTATTTTCTTTCTTCATCAATAAGCTTATTATATACGCGCCTCGAGTATGGGTATAAGACGCGCGTACGTCACCTCTTTTACTTCTTACTCGTTGCTCGTCTTCGTTTCCATTAAGATTCATTATCGGCATCACAAGCACCATAATTCGGTAATACTATTTGTTTGTTTGTTTGTTTGTTTGTTTGTTTTTACACACAACTTTCTGGACCTGGTATGGAGTTGGCGATGATGATCTCTTTCATGAGGTTGCGGTCTGCCTTGTAGCTTATCGGTTCCCACGATTTCGCGGAAAATGGATTTAGCTGCCGAACGGAGGTCATCGTTATTTTTATCGAGTCCAAAGTGCAGGGAAATTGTATAAAATACTGCTCACGTGTAATTTCATACTCACGTTGCATCGATTTGTTTGGAGGCCCTGTTTGTGAACGTCGTAAGGGGCGAAGAGCGTGTCCGGCCTGACGGGCAAAAACATCTGCGGCTCGCGCTTCATCTTCTCCTGGTCAGCTGCAATTTTAGTGATTTTTTTTTTTTCAAAATTTTCCTTTTTATTTTCAATTTTTCTTCAAATAAACCTCTTGAGTTGTTAAGTATTTCAAGACAGTAACGTAAGTCAGTTTTTTCAAAATGTATTTCTACTTGTACGTTTCAAGATTATTTATTTTTATCAGCAGTTTTTTTTTCTTTTCTTACAAAATAACTTCCGAGTGCGATACGCAAAACACACAATACTAGCATTTTACACGAAAATAAGTATTTTATACGTTTGGCTAAAAAAATTGATAACAAACATAAGTACTTTTCCTCGGTATACTGACTAAAACTACAGTTATTCATTACGGTGTTAAATAGTGGAAAATTCGGTTAATGAAAAGCTGAGCTCAAGACACGTATTTCTAATAGTCACAAAAGAAAAAGAGTTTTAAGAGTCACAAAAAAAAAAAAAAAAAAAAAAAAAAAAAAAAAAAAAAAAAAAAAAAAAAAGAAAAAAGAAAAAAAAAAGTTAATGAAATAAAACCGAGTTAACGATCGCTACAATCATCGAGTAGTCGTATACCTATAATGAATAAGTAGCTTACCTTGGGGCGACTGTATGATGTCGGGTTGATTGTTGAGGGCGTAATCGGCCACCTGTTTGAGGGTGTACTCGACGAAGTAAGTGTGATCGCCGCGAGTGACGTCGAGCATCGAGTTGTTGCGCGAGTCCGGGGGAGTGATGATCGGCTGCTTCATGTATGGCTCTATGTGAACCGGCGAGGTCGTACCCCTGCGCCTGTACATCATCAGCACGACCGTAAAGACGGTCAACGCTAGTACCACCAAGCAGCCCAGGGTCAACAGCATCAACGGCACTACGCTCACCGAGCTATCTGTTGTTGACAAAAAAAGTGAGTCACGTTTTTTTTTTCCTTTTTTTCCCCACGACGCACTGTAAATCCAAGTGTGTTACAGTACAGTTGAAATTGCGGTTTTTTTTTAAATAAAATGCATTACTTCATACAAATTCAACCAGTCACACTAAACTGGACGATCTTGAATGGGAAAAAAACCTATGTAGTAAAGCTGCGGAGTGAAAAAACAAAAAACAAAAATCAGTTAAACACAATAGGTGAAAAATCGTTAACGAAGCATCGATTTGGTTGTCCTTGAAACGCTCGTCAACACTACTTCAGTACCAACACACAAAAATTTGCTTGGATATTACAACTAACAATAAGTAAACTCGTGTACCCGTGTGCTTCTCCGAGTCGCCGAGGGCTATGTCCTCGATGAGGTAAGCTTCGCTGCGGCCCTTGGCGTTCGCCGCGTAAGCCGCGAGGTAGAGCACCGTGGCTGGCATGAGCTCGACCACTGGTATACGGAACATCGGTGTTTCCGGGGCTACGCTCGACACGTTCAGTCTCAGCCTACCCGAGGCCACCTCGTACACCTCCAGTCGAAACTCTTGCCTTTAACCATCGTTTTAACCCATATTACTTTCGGTCCACGTTGGGTCATCGAAAGGAAAAAAAAAAAAAAAAAAAAAAAGGGATTAATAAAACGTACCTGAGTCCACCGTCGTATCCGGGCACGCACTCGACCTCGATAGTCTCCGAGCTCTGGTTGAGCGCTGACTTGAGGGTGCAGTTGCTCAGGGGGCTGGGCTTGACGGCCGGTATGATCTGGTAGACGCAGGCCACCGCTTGTTTGCCGATGGGGTTGCGACCGTAGCACGTCAGGGCGCCGTAGTCGCGCTCCGTCACCGGTGTGTACACCAACTCGCTGAGAGTGCCGTTTTTCCCTTGGGCCTTGGTCGGTTCGACCTCGAATATCTCCCCGCTGTTGTTGAAGTCCCAGGTGAAGTCGACCTCCGCCGGATCGGCATCTACCTCGCACCTCACCCGCACCGACTCGTCGAGCGACGCTCCGATTATCGTCACGTCCTTGCTCTTGCAGATCGGGGCAACTGTGTGTGTGTTTATTTATTTTTTTTTATTTTTCTTTTCTTTTCAATTCACGACTCGATGCACAATTGCGTGTTAGCAATAACAATTGGTCACTGTTTTGAATATCCGATCGAGTGTGCGGTTACCGGTGCGAGAGAAATCATGGCCGGTGAAAAATAAACGTGACACGAATACCTCGTTGATTGTTGTTTTTTTTTCTTTTCTTTTTTTTTTTGCCGAATGGATTATTTACCTATACGGGATTTAAATTATATAACGATTGTAATTTGATTACCGTCGCGTGACGGGCGCGCAAATGCGATGGTTAAAAATTTAATCTGTTTCGCCCGGGCGTGACAACAATATAACATTTATAAGCGTGTCGATCGTTTCGTTTGAATGAGGAGGTGAAAAAAAAAANTATTTCATGAATATTCATCGATGCATTTTCGCTGATGACTGTCTCATGAATGTTTCATACGGTTTCGGGAAAAAAAAAAAAAAAAAAAAAAAAAAAAAAAAAAAAAAAAAAATCAACACAAAATCGCGTTCTCGTTGTTATTCTTTGGACAAATATCGTGTTTACTTATTCGCGTCTGCTGGTTCCGCGCTGCGTCGGGGGTTTCGCAAAATTGAAATCTGCATCGATAATCGGCGAGTGCTCATTAAAACTCGATCGCGTGTTCGTAAAAGTAAATTAGCCGAGGGACAAATGAAGAAAAAAAAAAAAAAAAAATTGTTCCTTGTTCGACGGGGGGGAATTGCTGTAATTAATGAGATACGCCCGTGTGTTGCCATTGTGTACGCGACACGAGGCTTCTGATTTATTTACCTAGAGGACAATGGGTTAAATTTGTACTCGTTTGACACACGTAACCTTTTGCTCTCGAATATATGCTAAATAAATTTTCAACAATCCCACAACATTTGACAAACACTTTGTACATAAATAAGGCTCGAAAAAATTTTTTTTCCTACAAACAAAATTCACCTCCGCTCGGTGTACGAATTTATTTTCAAACACACACCCAACTGGGACTACATTTCCCCCCTCCCCCTCGGTCCCCCGGGGTATCAATATTTTCCTCGAGCTACATCGCTCCCAAGCACTAAATTTCACTTTTACCCAGAGTCACGTTTCGGGAAAAAAAAAAAAAAAAAAAAAAAAAACTAAGCGATAAGCGAGACCAACAAACACGGCAAACGATGTGATTGTAGCGCACATTTTCGCCCTACGCTGTAAGTACGACGTGAAATCTAATTCCGCTCGCAACGAGACAAGCGCTACACGAAGGACGAAAGTAGAGGGCAGGAAAGGGGGCAGAAAACACTTAGCCGGAGTGTGATTAATGAGAGGGAGAGCAAAGTGCGCGTGGGAGCGGAAAATGGCATCTAGGTGTATACGTCTCATCAATGGCCACTGCCGACTTGTCTCTCGTTGTTACCGTCGTCTTAAGAAATAAATAACAAATGGGGAGTCCTGTCTTTTTATACACGCGCGTGGATGATAACAGCGATGAGGACCGAAATGTTGTGGCCAATAACGCGTTGGGGAGACACGAAAAATGTGTGTTCCCCATCGGTACGTTATACGACGGATGCTCCTCCTCGTCTCTTTGCTATTCATCAGAGACGACGGGAAGGAAACGCTCCGCTTTCACGAGAGCGCGGGGAGGGGGTGAAACGGGAAAAAGGAAAAAATTAATGACGTCGCACCGGTAATGAATCGAACATAATTTATCAGGGGCCCACCGATGCGCGAGCGAATCCTTCATTTCCCAATGAATTTTCCATCCATATCTGTCGCGCCCGGGATCACCCCCCCCCCCCTACTTTTTTTTACTCTCGGTCGTGTATATCCATGTACACACGACTCTGCACGTGTATAGAGAAGGAAAAAAACATTAATAACACCCCGATTCAGTTTGAGATTACGCAGAGTCGGGAGGAAATGAAAGGGGGCGGGAGGGAGGGAGAAAAAGAAAATCGTCATTTCCCATCAGCATCGACAACGCCGTCAATGCCGGGCGCGTATACATAGCTGTGCAGGTGCGGGGACCTCATTAGGATTCTTTGACGCGGGAGAGTTAATTCGCGTTTTAATCGACTTATACCCCAGGGGAGAGAAGAGGAGGGAAAAAAGAAAATTAATCTCTCGGCTGGTTGTCCTGAAAAACGAGCAACAGCCCTCTCCCGTACGTATACATACATAAATACACCTATACCTATACCTGCGAAAAATTTGTCGAAATCCATTTCTCAATGGGTATAAAAGCGGTCAGTGTACAAGCCGAGCAAAAAAAAAAAAAAAAAAATTCCTCTCGGTCCGTACACACACGTGGCTATACAGTGTATATGTATTATGACGAGAGAGTTTTTTTTTCAACGAGCGCGTGGGTGGGTTCGCAGCTCGTATTGTATGTATAAATGGCTCGAGCATTATTCAGCGGCTCCTCTCTCAACGCGTTTTATACATATACGTATAAGTATGTACGGGTGGAAGAAAAAGCAGCGAGGGAAAACGGCAAAAGGCGGATGTATGTGTATATAATATACAATATATACGGGAAAAGAGAAAATATAAATGAAAGGAGTCGGAGAATGTAAATGTGTGTGTGTGTGTGTGTGTGTGTGTAGTAACCGGGGAGCGGAAAAGAAGGAACATGATCGATGGCTCTTGCGCGCGTACTACAATAATAGTGGCTGAAAAGAAAAGTAAAGTGCGCCGGGAGACGAGATGAGAATTGAAAATTGAAAAATAATACGAGTTTTGTCCTACATTCATACCTATACCTGCACCCTGTGTGTACATGATACAAGGATGAGGTGTTACATGCGAGGGTGTGTCTGTACAATATTATAAATATGCAGGTATGTGTATATGGTACACATTGTCGTGGTCACACTATACTTACACTGGACACGAAGGGCGACCGTAGGACTGGCAGTTTCGCCCCTGTCGTTGCTGGCGAGGCACGTGTAATTTCCGGCATTCTCGCGGCTGATTTTCTGCAGCACGAGGCTCTGGGCGCTTATTACTATTCTGGCCGACTGGTTCTGCATCAGCACTTCGTTCTGCGGCATATATTAATACATATATATTACATGCAACAGCGACAACGGCGTGTGTGTGTGTGAGAGAGAGCAGCCCCCACAATGTGTGTATAAATTATCAACGAGTTCCGCACGGGAAGATCGCACTTGAATTAAAATCAAGTTTTTCTTTTTACTTCGTTCCAGGTCAACTTGGACAGTTTTGCCCTTTTTCGGGTAATAATCCAACGAAAATTAGAATACGCGTTAAACAAAGTAGGGTACTCGAAAATGACTTTCACGTGAAGTTTGTTGGGGGGAAAAAAAAAAGAAAAAAAGGTAATTTAGGTATCAAAAGTTGGATATAATTAAGGCTTGCTCTTCCGAATCGCGAATTTTCGTTGAAATTTTACCTGTAACTTTTAATACCTGCACACAGCGTTCTATTTGACTCGGCGAGTTTCGGGGTAAAACTGCTCTCTGCCCGCCCACTGTATATACTTTATCATGGATTTTTTTTGCCCTTTTTTTTCCATCCTATGTACTTGTTTTAAAAGGTGCGCTGCTACTGATAAAAGTCGGATTTTTCTTCAATTACTTGGCCATTCCACATAAAAATTCCACTTCTACGGATCCTAAGATTTTTCAAGATGAAAGAATTCAAAGTGAAAAATGCCAATTAGGATTTCAAACAAGACTTTTTGAGTTTGAAAATAATGACGGAATAACAAGTTGCCGGCAATTTGCTGAGTTTTTGAAGGAAAACCTTAAAGTTCGAGTCACTCATAACTTTCATTTTGGACATTACTTTTTTTTCTTTTTTTTTTTTTTCAACTCTCAACGAGTCTCATTATAATATCCTAATGCCACAAATAACGCAAATCTTTTATCAAACTTTCAATGGAAACACCAAAATTTACGTGATTAAAATTATACACCTCAACACCATAAAAAAAGTCCTCTTTTGACATTTTAAAAAACACATACCAATTTTTCGAATTTCAATCATATTTTTCTCATTCATCACACGATGTACACCCCCCCCCAAAAAAAAAAAAAAAAAAATTATACGTCAGGAGAGGAAAAACAAAAACCTTATACATAACAGATGATTTTTCCGTGGAGTGTCTAATGTACACGTCGTATACGCATCGTTATACATCACCCGATGTACATATATACGTATCATTGTGTACACGGGCGTATAATGATTCTGCTGATATTGCCTTTTTCTTCCGCAAGTGTACCTCTCTCTCTCTCACTGACGATGCGCATCAGAGAGACGAAATATGTTTGCTCTGCATGCATAACTTTTTCTCTTTATTGCGTGGCTTTTTTCGCTCTAAATACATATTTAATACACACACATTCGAGCGAAAGTGATGAATTCGAATCGGATTACACGGTGAGGGGAGTTGATGGTACAGCCCCATTGTTAGCAGAAGACGATCGTCAAAAGAGCATGGCTTTTCGTTCCCGCGGCGGATTACTCCTACACACACGTAGGCGAACGGGAGAAAAAAAAACAACGTTTCCAGAGCCAGAGTTGGTCGGATTCAACATCTTCCGGAGGGGCAGTAAATCTCTTGCACCGCCTGCGCTCGCGTACACATGTACACCCACACGCCCCGAGACTCCGTTCGTTCCTTCCTTCCTTCCTTCCTTTTTTTTCCCCCATCAAATTCAGATTTCCGACAGTCAGTCTCTCGTTTATACTGCAGTGGATCGAAGGAGGAAAGGAAGAAAAACGCTGATTCCCCCTCAAGTGCAGGGACTTTCTTTTCCGATGATTTATTTTAGACTCGCGCTAAGGCAAATAGCCCCCCCCCCCCTTCCGACGGGATTAAGACGCGCGCCCGAATGTAACTTCATCATTACGGAAAAAATCGGCAAGAAGGCCCGAGCCCATTACTCGACATCGGTTCGCACGGAGAAACTGTACGTGCTTTTTTTTTTCATGCCAACTCGTGGAAAAAAAAAAAAAAAGAGTTCTTGCTCCGATTCTCACGGCGGAAAATAATTTTGGAAGGAAATCTCCCCCCCCCTGTTTTTTTCTTCCTCTCGGTTATAATATAATATTCTCCTGCTCGCTTACACGTGCCCGAACGAGGTCGACGTGTCTATACGTAGAAAAGGTACACGGCGGTATATAAATAAAAGACACGGTCGCCTCTCCGAAAGACCGGAGCGGTACAAGATTCAGGAGTAATGTCACTCGGGGAAAAATCGTCAGACACCGGTGGAATTCAAAAAGCGTCGAGCACACAGCCTGGATTATTCAATCCTTTAAAAATCGAAGCCGCGAGAAATATCGCGATGGAAATAATTAAACTTAACGTGATTGCGAAACGCCAAGCATCTCTCGAAATTACCTTGCGAGAACCGACGGTGATAACGATACATAAAAAAAAAAAAATAAAATAAAATAAAAAATAAAGAAATCCCCGTCCGTGGAGGGAGAAAAATCCACGCGGAGCACCGTCGAAAATCAAATTAGTCCGTCATCGTGGTATTAGTCTTGCCCTCTTCTTTTCTCGGGGAGGGAACAAGTGTCCGTCGGGGTCCAGACGGACGGGCGTAATATTATTCTCCCCCCCCCTACTCTACCGAGCTCGTCAGCAGAGAGAGAAAAGAAGAATTAAATTACACTCGCGAAGCCACTCGAGAGGCGGAAGAAGAAAAAAAAAAAATAAACCTCGAAACACACGTACAGTACCCGCACAGAAAAACACAACGGGTAAAAGGTCAGCTCTCCATCCCTCTGGCCGTAAGGGTGTGTACACACGCGCGTGTAGGAAAAAAAGGGCTGTAGCTGCCCCCCACTTGAGAGAAAAAGGAAGAAAAGGTCTCGCGGTGGATGGGGTATGGTGACGTGACACTGGTGGAGAAAAGCAAAGGGTAAAAGTTCATAATATACACACTCAGGTGCGATACCATCGTTGTAATTATTATTATTATTATTATAGCGCGCGGCGAAAATTAGGATACTCACGTTGTGCCGCCAAGTGATCTTGTGATGTTGGGGATTGGCCTGGACTTTGCACTCGAAGTAGACGTCGTCGTTCTCCTTGATGTTCTCGGCTTTCAAGGTGTTGCCCAGCTCCAGCTGCACTCTCGGCGGGACTTTGAACGCAGAGTAGCCGCAGCAGCAGCAGAGAGAGAGAGAGAGAGAGAGAAAAAAAAGGAAGGCACGGGTTGGGTATACGGTAACAACAGCGCATACGTACACATTGATAAAAAAAAGGAGGGCGCGTCTCTCGTTACTTTTGTTTGCGTCTCATCTTTCGCGCGTATATATACACATATAGCCACCGTCAAGCCTATGTAGGTGAGCTTTGCACACTTTTTCGGTGCCCTCGAGTGTACACGAAGGTATTTTACTTTCCCACCCTTTCCATAAAGAGGGCACGGCTATGCACACCCGCGCATTGTGTACGTATAGTTTAGCGTAAACGCCAGCGCAGTTGAAAGTTTTCACGCCCTCACGCAGGACCGATTTTTTTCTGTTTTTTCCTTCCACTGTGAGGTTCCGCGTGTTTCCAATCGGTAAAATAAATATAGCGAGTCTCTCCCGTACGTGGTTTACAAGCTGCCGGCTCGGGTTGCAGGACACGCGTCACGTGTCGCGGCTGTTGTTGTTTTCGCTCCTCTTTCTTTTTCCCCCGACGTTTGATGGAATTAATTTTTTTTTTTTTTTTCTAGGACGATTGAGTTCGATCGCTGTTTCGTGGCACTGCGTTCGTTTTTCGCGGAGCTATTCGTACAGGAGGAACGAAATAAAATAACTTTGCGATATTGGAGGACGGGCGAAAAGGAATGGCCGAGCGCAATTATTCCGATATGATTATTGAAAAAAGAAATAAATGAGGAAGGCTTCGACCGGTCGTCTATTTTTAACGCATGTTTTTTTGGAACGTATCATCGAAAGTTACATGGGGCATACACGCAATAATCTGAAAAATCGCCCGCGTCACGTTTCACGTTACGCGAGAAATCCATATTTTTTAATTCCGAAAATTCAATACATATCGCCCGCATGTACATCGTTAATTTTTCACCAAAAGCTATTAAATCACCATCCGCGAGCTTCTGTTTCCCGACGCGCGTGTGCGTGTAACGAAAAATTTAAAAGCCTCCCTACACATTGCACGTATAGCCCACCGAGTATCAAAAACAACTCGTGGTGTATTCCATGCACGCGTCCGCGCGAGTTAAATTCGGATGAAAAACGTGCGTACAGCGGTTTAAAAAAAAAAAAAAAGTATAAAGAGTCGAACCGAAACCGCGTCCCGGTGTACATTACACGCGCTGCACGATAACGAGGGGGTGGTGTTGCGTGGCAGATATAGAGTGTATATTCACCGGATCAGTCGCGCGGTGCGGTGTGTATGGTGTATACTTACAGACGACGTTCATGGAGAAGGAGGCCTCCTGGTACGCGGATGAAAGGGCCGGATTCTCGCCCCGGCACTTGAGCTGCTTGCCGTGGTTCTCCGGCTGCGGCGAGAACATCAAACTGCTACGGACCAGCATCGCGTCGCTCGTGCTCTCCATCACCTGTCGGCCACACCATATCACACGTATATCAGCGTTTCTACGTATCACATGTATATGCATCCATACTTTTACGCTCCACTCGCGCGTGCACCGATGCGTACATTATACACATATAAAAAAAAAAAAGAAAAAAAGAAAGGCAACCCCCCTTTTTATTCCCTTCTTCATCCCTCGGCTTTACGATGTTCCCTTTGACGTTATACCCTCCCTCATTTTTTTTTGTTCCTTTGCTTTTTGTGTCGAGAGGCTCGCCATCACCGGCTCATGCATCTGGGCATTAATCCCCGGGACTTAGGGACGATTATCGCCTGCCCTGATTGCCCTGCATGCACCGGCTGTATCCATCTAATCTGCAGCCCTCCCGGTGCCAGCTCGTGTGTACGTGTGTGTACGAGAGCGAGACTGCGTGAAAGGGATCCTGATTCGGCCACTTTACCGTACACTCCAGCCTCCCCCGTCCTTACCCAGCCCGACTCACTGCAAGGAATTAGCGGCTATTCGGAGGGAGCGTGCACTGCCGGGGGAGGGACGTCGGGCTTCTCTCTGTTTAGTCCAAGTGGCCCTATTGTCCCCCATGCACTGTACCACCGGTCTATTCAATCGTGCGGTGCGCGATGTCTGTATACACGTGTATACATATGTATATTCTCGCGCAGTCTACCTCCGGGGCCTTTTTGTGCGCGCAGTCTATGGGGATTAGTTACAGGTGTGGGCTATTGATGCGCTTACGCGGTGCATATATACACGTACAATAGGTGCCTTTGACTATCCTAATTAGGGCTGTGTGCAGGATGCGAAAATCGAGGAAATATGTGCTCCCATGGGGATGAGTATTTTATTTGGGGCTGGTTTTAAAAAAAAAAATTGTTTTTTTTTTTTTTTTTTTCATCATCATAAGTCTGCGCAAGGTGTACGAGGAATTATTAATATGCGTACTTTATTCAAGCTCGCGTTGCGTTGAATTTATTTATTTTTTGATATCTTACGAAAGGCAAAATCAACGATTCATCGATTATTATACAATTTAACTAAACCATTACTATTTTCAAACGAATAATATAGAAAAAACAAAAAGGCTGTAAAACACCAGAGACTTGTCTCTATAATATATCCGGTACAGATTTAACGCAGTTACAAGCGTATATGTATAATAAATCCGTGACGACATTCGTTAAATATTTACTCCTCGAGTAACACGATTCCATATAATTTATAGACTGAATTAATTTAAATTAGCAAAGAATCAATTCAGTTGTTAGTTATACCCTTAATTGACACGTCGAAATGCTAATCATTCACGTATAGGTATATTCGCGCTGAAAGAAAATTACTTTGAATCAAAGAAAATGTTTACTAGAACAGTCCCAAGCAGTTGTAAGATTGTCTCGCTTTAAGAAAATCTCTTCAAAATCAAATGAGAAAACCCTCTGGATGCAACAAAATATCATCTCGTTCGAAGAAAACATATTTTTACTTGTAAATTTTTCCCCTCGCTGGCGGTGGATTCATCCGAGAGCGTACAGCTCTCTGTTATACGTACCCGTAATATCAAGTTTCGTAATTTCCAGCGCTCCGATATATCGGCAATTCGAGTTCGTTTATACGTAATAGTCCGAAAAATTAAAAAAAATCTCATTACCACAGTACTAGCGGCGTCGAATTTCAAATTCAGTTTTACCGCACTTACGTGCACCACACCGAGGAAGCATGAAAAACGCCACCAAGGGTCTTACACCCGTATGGGGAGGGGATCCGAAATTTAATAAAACACCGAAACGAGGACGGAAATTGATAATTGAGCCCCAAACGTATACGAGATTCGATAAGCCGAGCCACACACAGGTTGTACCGCGGGAATACACGGGCCGCGCAGATACATGATAAATCACCCGGAATAATGAATACTTCGTGATCGCGGACTATCGCCAAGTAGATCGCGTGGAAGTACACGGTATAGGATATGTATGTATACACAGACATCACGGGTGTACAGGTGTACAATGTGCTACAACAACAACACACCGGGGGCGCACGTGATTGTGATCAAAACACTGCACCCGGGCCGAGTCGATGACGACGACGAGTAGGAGGAGGACGATTCCGTTCCACGTATACATCGTTGTTGTTGTTGTTGTTGTTGTTGTTGTTGCTACCGGCCACACTCGGTCTCTCGCCGCTTTATAATGTTGGTACTAAACAATTAGCAGATTGATCATCATCCAATTGAGCGCAAATGAAGCTTGAAATTGATAATTTTGATATTACCCGAGAGGGAGTGTATCTTTCCCGCGATCCTCTCGCGCAACTTCTAATTATAGAGTTGCATATTAACGACTACGGGTAAGGGGGGGGGGAGCTTATCGATTATCACAGCTAATTTTGGGCCTATTATTGGTCTTTTTTTTTTTTTTCATACGCTCGTGCCCATATTACATTCTCCAGATATTTTTCTCCCTCCCTCACATTTACGTATATGGTTCACGATCTGTGGGTTATATACACGTAGATAAAAAAAATTTGAAGCTTAGCTATAGTGTACACATAATGATTATGGTATAAAAGTAAAACCCAATTCCTACGTGTATATGTGTATACATATACATATATGTATGTGTCCAAACAGAAGAAATTGACCTCGTAAAGGAAGGCTCTCGTTCGGTCGGTGGGTTATCGTCGATCTGCACCTGTGTACACCCACACACGCGCGCAAAGAGGGAAGGCGGAGGAGAAGAAGACGTATCGATTCGCCGGCCGCGCAAACGTGCTCTCGCCTGTATGCACGATAATGACTCGAGCTGTTTTTTTTTTTTTTTTTTTTTTTTTTTTTTTTCCCCGGAGCTTTATACCTGCCTTGTTNNTTTTTTTTTTTTTTTTTTTTTTTTTTTTTTTTTTTTTTTTTTTTTTTTTTTTTGTCTTTGCTTTTCTCTCGGTCGCGAGATAAATAGAAAAACTCATTTTCACCCGTGATGACGCTTTTTTTTCCCCCCTTTCCTGCCCGAAATAACAATTCCGCCCGGAGCACGTTGGTTCTATATGCGCGATTGCGCGATCGTATATTATACCCCCCCTTGCCCAACTCTCGTGATGCATATTATAAAATCTTCGAGTTTCATTATGCCGAAAAAGATCAAAGGGTAAGCCGCCTATGGATATACATATACATGTACACGTATTTGGGAGGGATGAGATTGTAATATGCGATGATGCGCGCGCGTACCCCCCCGTGTGTGTGTATAATGCACACACACACACACACACACACACACACACACCCACACACACAAACTTTTATATATTACTAGCCCGCGTTGCATTACAGACTTGCCCCGTTTGTAGAAGCGCCCCCCTGCACTTGGAGTTCAAACAAAATATTCCCTCTCTGAAGTTGACGTCAAGAGCAAATAGGTGCCCGATGTGTACCTAGAAAAGAAAAGAAAAGGGAGTAACAAACCTCACCAGCGACACGCGAGCGCAAGAGTACTTATATATTATACACTCGGGCGAGAGAGAGAGAGAGAGAGAGAGAGAGGGAGAGAGGTGTTTGGACCGTGTATTTCATCGGGTGCAAACATCACCCCCAAGGAGACACACTCGTTTCGTTCGTTAGATATACACCTGCAGGAAACAAAGTTGATGAGCGTCGTTGTTGCAGCATCGTACCTATATTTATGTACAAAGCCCACCTCCTCCTCGGCAAACAACGAAAACGAGCGATGAAAGGCAGGGGGTTCTCTCGCGCGATGCTCGTTCGGAGTTACGTCCTGTTGTCGCGCGTATATATAGGTGGTATATACACGTATAGGTGGTGGTTTGAGCTTACCCTGCCGTTGGTAAACGGCCTGGTGCCCTCGTACCAGCTGACGTTGGCCCTCGGGTGGGAGCCCTCGACCTCGCAGACTATCGTGTAGTCCTTTGACGCCTCCATGATCTCGGGCTTCGTCAGGATTTTCACGGTTGTCGGCTCCACTGTGGGAACAGAGAGAGGCACGTATAATACATGTATGTACGAGCGATTGCGGATATCCGCCATCTCCCCGGGAATATCGAGAAAAGTAAGCGGGTCGATCGCTTTTGTGCCATTCCTCGCTGCTCACGCTTGCCACATACGTACATACATATGCGTTTACAGGGATGTTGGTGTTCGCTGTATATACGTATAATAACGTGATTGTTGGGTATTAATCCGTGGCCTATTAAGGATCGATGTCGAGGGGCCACTTATATTTTTGGAGCCGCGCTCGGAAGTAAAATTTATTCAAAACCCCGGTTTATGCATGAAAATAATGCATTGATTATTATGCGCGCGCCTGACGTGTCGCGGTGAAATATGGAGTACCGCATTCTCGTCGATATATATATAATGTACCGGCTGTCAGTCGGGATTGGATTAAATTTTAATATTATAAGGAACGTTACAATATGTCCATGGAGGAGCGGAAGTCACGGAGGTTTAATTTAACGATTCGTCGAAGAAATCGAGTTGTCGATCGTCACGTATTCCGATATGCTTATCGCGCTTTTCTGCACCACGTCGATCGAACGTTAAAACGATAATCTTCGATTGTTACGTCAAATGGTGTCAATCGGTTATTTGTGATGACTACTTTTGATTAATAATGTTAATTTGTTGAATTATTAATTGACGGGATAGTATTTTCGATTTGCGCCGTACATTTCCAACCAGAGCGAAAAGCTTGGCTGATTTTAAATGAACGCGCTGTACAAAATTTTCAAACTAAATCAAGTAGTTTGTGTTATTTGATGGTTGTTTTCCCCCACCGAAACTAGAAAACTTACAACTTGGAGTGGCTCAATTGACAATTTACGCGCGCGTTCCGAGAATCATTTGTTTATCTCGTTTGAATAGAAATCTACGAAGGCGACTATCGCAAAAGTGATTCAAAGTAACGAAAAAAAAAAAAAAAAAAAAAATGGTAAGATGACGTACCGAGTATATCATGATTGCTTTTTTGCGTTTATCTCACTGTTATGCTTTACGGAGTGCCTATAAACGCAACGAGCGAAAAAAGTACGCCCTTCACCGACGTACACGTATGATGTATATACGCATGACGATACTATAAAAATCCCATTCTCCGCAAAACACGCGACGATCAATCATATAAAAAGGGCATTACACTCGCGCCGATGGGTAATCTGATTGCGCTCGCACATTTCGATGGAAAAACAGAAAACAAAAAAAAATCATCAATCCCCGCTGAAGCTTCCGGTTTCGACGTCCTTCGATAAATAAAGACCACACGCGAGTCACTCTGGTTCGGTAAGCACATAAATATATATACGTGTACTCGAAAAGAACATCGTAAACCTGCCTCGGCGTCTCTGTATAGTTTAATTATCGAAATGGCAAGGATGACTGGACGGAAGAAGGCCATTGCACACGTACAAAAAAACAAAAAAAAAAAAAATAGTCGTACGGATGGATGGGGTATACACGTATACTCACGGTAGACATCGAGAACAACGGACTGCTCGAGGGGCGTTATCAGATTAGTATTGTTCGCCTTGCATTTGTACGTGGTATTGAGGTGCTCCCTCTTGAGGTGGGGCACGCTCAGCTCGTTCACCCATATCCTCTCCTCGCGCTCCACAAGCCGGCCCTTCATCTCCACCTCGTTCGCGTACCATTTGACCGTGGGCGTGGGCTTTCCTGGTTTCGGGTCAACGAAATATCAATTACAATACACGCCGTCCTGATCATCATTAGCGCATTCAGCATCCGCCAAGTGCTTTTTTTTTTTTTTCTTTTCATCTCCCAACTTTTCCGGACGAGTTTTCCGGGATAATTATGTTTTGATGAATTTCAAAGGGTAGGTGGAAATACGAATTTTACAGAGTTGCTTTTAATTGGCCGAAATTTCGGCTCTACCCCGTCTCCCTCGTGATAAAATGTATGGAAATAAAAAAAAAAAAAATAAAAAAATGGTAAAGAATTTCCATTAGCGTAGGTTTTCCCGTGAAAATGTTGGCTTTCAAAAGGCAAGGTGTTTATAACTCGTCAAACGGAAATTCTTTCCGCGATAATTGTCCGCCGCGCATACGTGGGTAATAATAGCGCCGTGCAAAATTCTTCAGTAATTGAGAATTCAGGGGCGGCTCGGGTCGAAAGCGATACTTCCCTGGTCTACGCAGCCATGAAATTAAACCCTCGTTGAAATTCTACCGCCGCGATATTGCAAATACTAGCAAGGTATCAATTTTTCGTATATTTCTTTTTTTTTTCCTCGAAAATCGTGCTTCAACTGTGAAGTAACGAGTTTTATTTTTTGTGCGATCGCAATAAAAATATTATCAATTGCTACTTTTTATTCGCACAACTAGGAAAAAAAAAAAAAAAAAAAAAACCGGTATAGCACGACATTTGCATCTTCTGCTCGAGCGCGCCGTAAAAACGGCGCTCAATTTCACAAAACGGCGCCCATGTACATTTTGCCTCGCTTTGTTTTCCTTCTCTAAACTCTCATCGATTGCCAATATAGTCCTCGTAAACGAATAGTCCTGCAAACTTTAAAAAAAAAATCCATGCATCAGATTTTTCCGATAATTGTTTTTTTTTCTTCTTTTTTTTTTTTACGCGTACACGCCCCACTACAGAGCGCTAGTTCTCGTGTTCCAAATAGATGTATCCGATAATTGATCGGATGCTGCGAAAATTCAATATGCGCGCGTATACCCGATGAATTATTAGATTCTACGAGTTTTTTCTTCCCTTCACCATCATGATAACAGTAAAACAAACACGTAATCGATAATGTGTAACATTTTCCTCTAAGGTTCATTTAAAAAAATTTTTTTTTACGCAAATTATTCTTACCTCCTCTGACTTCGCACTTGACGCTGAATTGGTCGCCGACTCTGTAAGGCCCGACGATGGACTTGAGCTGTGCCCCGGAGTTGTCGAAAACGAGCAACTGATGCGGCGGAACTGGAAATAACGAGACGTTTTGAAAACTCCCCGGAGCCCCTTGATGACGACGATGATCATAGAAATTCAGCGCCGAGGGAAAAACCAGCCAGTGGGAAATAATTATATATATATTCTTTTTCCCCTAGTTCGCGACGCGAAGCGTATACGCGCTTGAAACAAAGTTCGCTGCTTTTTATACCCAAGAGTAAAATGAGAGAAAAAAAAAAAAAGTAACATAAAATAAAAGAAAAGACGCGCGTGTGTGGGTGTGCCGCGAATTTTGAAAGCTCCTCTTTCAAGGGGGAGACGGGCAAAGCAGGTCAGACGGAAAATAAAAAACATTGGCGCAGCGCCGTCTCACAGGTGAATAATTTGACTGCCGAAAAATTTTCGACAGGCCATCCCTTTACATCTACAAATAAATACACGTTACAGGTCACGAGTGAAAAAACAAAAAAAGGTGCACAATCTAAATATAACAACCGATGGGTGAGCTTTACGCCCGAAAGGTCATCCCGCGGGGTAAAACGCTTTTTCCCGATTACCAGATTGTCCATAATTTCACTTTATCGAGCGGAGGCACGAAATTTCGATCGCGATCGCTCGCCGATTTTTCGTTCCATCCGATGGAACTGTAAAATCCATCCCGGGCGTGTCGAAACTGCCAACTTTCGCGACACCCATCACGAATACAAAACTTTGGAAAGTTTGATTATCGCGACGGGAACTGCCGGCGCACGTGCAAAAAGAAGAAGGAAAAGGGAAACAAAAATAATAAACTGCACGGTGACATCGAAAAAAAACAAAAAAAAAAGAAATATTAGATTCAAGAGCGAGTTGGCGAACGAGAGAAAGCAAAAAAAAGGCTGTACGGTAGTCGAAAAACAAGTCGACTACATACATACATATACACACCCAGTAGGGGAGAGCGCGACGAATCTCCGATAAAAATGATTATGTCCCAGTTTCGCCGGGTGAAAGTTGCGCACCAGCCGGCAGCAGAAGGCCATTAGAGCGAAAAGTCTCGTCGCTTAAAAACTCGACGTGTGTCTCACCCGCGTTCGTTTCGGACGGACAGCAAGAAAGAAAGAGCGCCCCCCCCCCTCCCCGAAGAAAAGAAAAATGATCGCAACAGTGTGTTTGTGCGTGTTACAGGCAGGGAGGGTGCGACGACGCTTGAAAAGGAGAGCGCGACGCGAGGGATAATAAAGCTCGCTACGAGCGACGAGAGAAGCGCCAACAAAGCCAATGAGGCGCCCCAACTCCATCCAACCCAGGCGACATCGTAAAATAACGAGGAGGGAGATCGCACGTACCGTTACCATTATATATATATGTGTATATAGGTGTACGATTCCTTACCGATCACAGTGAGATTGACCTGGTAGTTGCGGGTCGGCGAGTTCTTGAAGTCGACGCGGCAGCGGTAAATGCCCTCATCGTTGATCTGCACGGCCGAGAGGGTCAGGGTGGCCGGTTTCATCGAGGGCATGAAGTAAGCCCGGGGACCCAGCGCGTTCGTGTCCGACCAATTGAGCGCCGTGTCTACCGCACGGCCGCGCACGTCGAAGCTGAAAATCAAGATACACACGTATGGTTGCACATATCGTGGTTGTACAAGGTGAGGGTCGATAGGGACTATACAAGCGATTAGGATCAGGGCGACGGAGGCATTTTCTTTTATCCGTCCGACCGCACTCGATTTGATCTACTTGCGTCGCCCCGAGCTCAGCTTTTTTTTTTTTTTGTCTCCGCTGCGGTCCGATTGCAGAGAGCTGGGTGGGGGCAAAAATGTACTAACGGCTTAACGAAGCGCTGCGAGGAGACCAACGGGGAGATCGTGAAAAATTTCGGTCACCCTTTGCGGGAGGAGGAGGAGGAGGGAAAAAAAAAGGAAGAATTTCCCGAGCAGCCGCGCAATAATCCGATCCAAAGTTTCCAGGCGCGGCCATGAAATTTTCACTCCAATATATTTTCATTATTCAGTCCGCCGTCTCGCTCATTTGTATTATATTCTTATGTCATTAGCTCGAAACTTTTTTACGGAAGAAAACTTTCAACCTCCGCTCTTTCCTCAAAACTATACGTGTATATACACCGGCGCGACCGACTTATTCAATAATGTAATTTCAACCCCCCCCCCCTCTCCCATGTACATTTGTACGTACTCTGAAAAAATTTCACCTCGTTATACGTATCGCTTATTTAAATATATAAAATCCCAGCCACCCCGAAGAAATCAGAGCCGAAGAATACCTTCAACGACCCTATGGCTGTGCGAGTAATGAAAATAATAGCTGGGGAAAAAAAGGGAAAGAAGAAAAGGTCCCAGATTACTTTTTCGAGGGAGAAAAGACACTGGCCACGCGTGCGGGGGCGAAAAAAAAAAGGAGCTCTGATAAATTCCCAATTAAATCCCTTGGTTCCGCGAGTACGTATGAACTTTTGCAGGTGGGTGGGTGGGCGAGTCAGCTGAGCCAATTAGCGGAAGCATCAAAGCGAGCGCGGAGAAAAGAAGTCCCGGGCGCGGGGGGTGGGGATTAAAAATACAATTTTACCTTCAATTATTGGCTCTCGCGTGAGCGCCCCATTGTTCCCTCCCGATTGTATTCAATGAAAATATACATATATATATATATATATGTCTCTTTCCGCACGTATGCGCGTACACAGCCATTAGAGAATCCGATGAAGAGCCAAAGTTGGCGAGTATATACACGTATAGAGGACAGAGACGCGGCCTAGCTCTAATTCCCTCATTCTTGGTATAATAGTTTTGAAGCGCCGGCAAAGACGATGACGACGACGGCTTTTCATTATCTAACTCCGTCTCGGGGCTTTGTTCGCCCGCTCGAAGGGAAAATCGAGGGAAACTCGCTCCTTGAAAATGTACTTTCCGTTAATCCAGGCAGGAACGACTTTGTTTGCCTCTTTTTTTTCCCCCGCACCTATATATACGAGGGTAGGTGGGGTAGGTAGCGTAACGACGTTAATCGCCTTCCCGCCACCGTCGCTGCTGCCTCCACTGTACTGTCTCTTTAACTTTTTTTTTTTTTTTTTTTTTTTTTTCCCCGGAGCAAAGTTTGCAGCTCTCGGCTTGCTCCTCTGCTCGCGTATTTCAGATTTCGATAGCCATCCAAAGAGAGCTTCGGATTAGGATCGATCGAGCGGATAATGACTTTTGCACGAGAGATAAACGCTGTTTTGCTCCATCCGAATACAATACATATATACCATTAGTTATTATAGAACCTGTTCCTATACACCTACGCGTGTTTATACGGTCAATATTTGGCCGCAGCTCGCGCGCGTGTGTGCCATCGGCATAATAAGTGTATAATCGTGTACGAGGGCGTGCCAAAACGTTGATTTTGATAGCTTATTAACACATGTATATGTGCGTGTACGTGTACGATCCAGTACGGCTAATTGAAAAGCTCAGTCCAAATGATGTAAGACAGGGCTTGGGATTAAGGAGTCAAGAGGGTGTGCCTGTCCCGACGGGGCCCGGGGTCCTTTTAAACTTATTGCCCTGATTCCGTATAACAAGGGCCATTTTTTCTTTTTTTTTCGGGCTACCTCTTCTACTTGTTTGTCTTGCTCGTGCTCGCAGTTTCCTCGACGGTGGAGTTAATTTGTAAAATTGAATCCTTTGCCTCGTTGGCCACTGCAGCGGCAGCGCGAGCTCTCGTGCTCATCACCCGCGTGTATAATATCCCCGGGAATGGGAGTATCGCGCTACCCCCCCCCCCTCACCCCTCTTTCAAAGGAATACGTCAAATATTAGCGCGAGCGCGCCTAGCAAAGTCCCTACGTCGTATATATATTTTTCAGTGTTGCGGATGGTAATCATTCCAACGAAATTGTTGCGCGTCTGATGTGAAAATTAATTAAATGTGTTTGGGGTGCAAGAGCGAGAATTTAAAAAAAAAAAAAAAATTTTTTTCTACTAATTGAAATTGAAATCGCGCAATAGAGACGCGTGTTTGTGGAAATCATTTTGTAATTTTCGTTTTATCGGTTGGAAAAAAACAAAATTATTGGCTCGCAGGGAATTCGCGTTCGCACTATTTTTCACGCAAACGCACTTTTGATCCGATTACCGTGGGGCTTCTTTAGATTGAAAAATAAATAAATCTGGAGCTTCGAGCAGCTTACTGCGTCCAACGACAGGTGAAAATTATTACACCTTTATTTTTTGCCAATCACGTAATGGAAGTATTTAAGTAGGTCCAAAGTATAAAATTAATTTTTCCTCGATACTCTTTCCCCAATAATTTTCAAGACGTATACGAAAAAAAAAAAAAAAAAAAAAAAAAAAAATTAGTATAGATAAAAAATACGTGTTGCACAACCTCATCCCATGTAAGCGTTCGAAAATATATCTGTGTAAACGTGAACTCCCAGTAGAACTACATTTATCCAGGGGAGTGAAAAATGTAAACCGACCGTCCTGTGAGGCAGTAGAGACCAAAAAAAAAAAATAAAAAAATCCCCCGAGTATCCAGGGGCTCATCGAAAAAAGTAGTCGTACCGCGAAATAGTCAGCCATCAAACGTCATCGTGATCTGACTTCTCTTGGGCTCGTCGTTTTTTTTTTTTCCCCCCTCCGTAAAAAAGAAAAGGAAGGAAGAAAAAAAACACACGTTTCCTCCACTCCTCGAACAGAAGGAATGATCCGACAGCTCGTACACTAACGATCTCAAAATCAACCCACTCGACGGCAAGCATCAGCAGCGGAGTGCACACACATCACCGGAGCGGGCTTCAAAGACGCGCCTTAAAATTCACGCGCGTCTTCCTTTTGCAAACGTCGGAACTGGTGCGCGCCACCGCATCAAACGTCAAAGCGGATGAAAAAGTCGGCGCGCGGCTTGTACATATATGTATATATATATACCTGTACAAACACACACAGATAGACGACTAAGAGACAGGCAGACAGACAGGTAAGGTACAGTTTGCGGCTGAGCATCAGGTACATGCAAGTGGAAATTGAAGATCGAAGGGGGGCGGGGGGAGGAAAAAAGAAATAGCGGCACGGGCCGCACATAAAAATACACGGGATCCATTTGATGAATGCACTTTGCGAAGGAAAAAAAAAAAGGATCATAACGTGTGGGTGTACGCGCGCTCGAGGGAGCGACGCGAGTTCGATGAATGGACGGGAAAGGGGGGGGGGAAATAAAAGGGAGGCGATTTCGCCTTTGGCACGCGCTCTCGCTCCGAGCGATTCAACTGGTTGTAGGCGCGAGCGATCGAGGTGCATCCACGACCTGCCCCACTGAGGGATGAAAAAAAAAAAAGAGAGAGAGGAAGCTGACACCGTATTTTCGACTGTACTGGTACGGAAAAAAAACGACGGGGGGGTGGGGGATCGATTAATTTATTTTCAGCTCGGCTTTATTTAGTGCGCACCACTAGGCGGAGTGGAAATGCAGTCACAGGTGAGCGGGGGGTGTATATGGAGATGTAGGCAGCGTGGGACGCGCGGCGAGTAGTTTTATTTTCAAGCCGCGGGGGAGGATCGAGTGGCGCGCGCGAACTTTGAAATACCTATGAGCTTCGGGACCGCGTGTGCGTGCGTGGTGGGGGGGGACCGGGGCAGGATGGGGAGGGGGGGGATTGATTGATTCGAGGTGATCTCTCCCTTGCGCTTGCGCTCGTGTGTATATATGCTGGTGCACGTACGGATCGGGGGGTTTGATTGGGACGGAAATAAAATGATGTATAAGTCGAGCTGTTGAATGATTTGACGATGGAAAAAAGCTCGGAAACGCGAGTGCTGTTTCTTCGGGTCGACGATCAATGCGCCCTACACGCGCTGCGGAATCAAATGCACGAAATTCTATTTCGAGCTGGTCGGAGGAATGTATTCGTCATTCGGAATATTTTTTGGACGTATGGCAGATGGATTTTTTCCCCTAATTATTAAAATAGCGATGCGAAATTATTGGATTACTGTGGCTTCGAAAACTATCGCGCATTTTTCCCACGTAGGGGCTTTGAAAGACTCCCAAGGGGCACGATTCACCGGGAAAATATCCCCTTCGTTAAAGAACGAACGAGCAAAAGTCACATACCTACACAAATACGTACACGCTTGCTTTTGATTTCAATTTCATTCCCGACACGGCGCACCTATACACGCCCTACTCGATAATAATACACACATATCCACCCGGACAATAGCGAGTAATATCTCAGAGGCAGCGTCGGATGGGGTATAGAAAATTTCGCGCGTCACTATTCCAGCGGCAATGGCACTTCTCGGTATATACACCTGGACGCTCGGGGGGTAAAAATTGTTGTCGCAAATATCGATTTTATCGACTCTCCGGGACGTAGGAATGGGTGAGATGGGACACAGAAAAAAAAAACAAAAAAAAAAAAAAAAAACATTGTCATGAAAATGTATAGCCGTCAAATCAGTATCGGCGTTCAAAGGTTGGAGGAAGAGAAGAAGGAAAATAAGATCGATGGGCGGGTGGGAAGAATGAATCGGCGCGCCGAGCACGAGGGGATGGGAGGCTATTTAAAAAAAAAAAGGAGAAAAAGTGTCTTCGAGGAGAACTTTCTTTATTTCCTTACTCCAATGGCCCGCGTTATAGATATGTCCCTCGCTGCGGGATAATACATAATGTACGGCTTTACAGGTATACATATATATACATTTATAAACTCGAGGTCGCGATAAAATCCGTCTCCTCTTCCCGTATTATTACCGGCGGCGTCGTCGTTCTCGTCGAATATTCATCCACGGGGCACTTGTGCCCCTCCTGGGCTGGAAGGAGCCAGGAATCGCGCCAATTTTCAATCTCACTTTCGATCGCGACAAAAGGGAGCCTCTTCCTTTCTTTTTCCCCCTTTCTCACAAAAGCCAACGAGCTCCTCCAACAAGGTGGCTCGTCTTTCTTCCCTCCCCTTTTCGCGATGCTTATTATCTCCGTGCTGATGGGTGACCCAATGATGTCACATGCATTTCACTCGTTTAACAGCCACCCCCTTGAAACGCATGGAAAAAAAGGTATCCCCGTCCCACGCGTGCGTGCCACATTGTCCGGGAAAGGTATACCTATGCTTTGCCCCGACGAGGTGGAAAAACACAAGCTGGCTCGAATTCGGCGTCCTTCTCCGTGAAAATACGGCATAAGCCGGGATTATTAAGATTATGGCAAACATAACGCGAGTCGGGGGCAGAGCTCGGGCTCAAAGCCCTTCTAAATGCCCCGATTCGGTTCCATTTAATCAACTCCGTTTCCGCGAATCCTTGCGCGTAATGGATATATATACACGTGCAAGCGAGATTCCGCATAATCCAAATCGCCTGTCGTTCCTGTGCTTCCCGGAAAGCATTGCCCCCCCCCCCCTCCCTTGTAGGCGAAACAACACACTTCCCAGAATTGCGTTTCTCCCCGATGTGCTTTATTTGGTCGCTATTGTACGTAATAAAGCTCCGTCGCGGGAAACCCGGCCTCGTTGTAAACGGCACACACATATAATATATACGCGCCTCGTTGGGTATGCGCAGCTTTGCGCCAATATCGTGGATGTCGATCAAGCGCGATCGCACTGTCGTTAGAGAGTTTCCATCATCGGTACAATGTATACACCCGTCGGGGTGTATGTGGGTACAATCACAAAGTGGGGATACGCTGCAAAATTAATTTTATACCCTCTTACCCGATGAAGCCCCGGAACTTTTCATTTTTAATTACACAAAGCCCGAGTGTAAAAGCTTTTGCAAAAATACTTTTTCCCTTTCGACTTGCGTGATATTAAAAGCGGGCGAGGCATTTTTACGTCCGGTTGACGCTGCCGACGCGCTTTGCGAGTTTTCGCTGTATTTTCGTAGCAATTTCATGCTTTTTGGATTCACGCGAAAAAAATCTAAAATTCGCTATTTAAGGCGCGACTAGTCCCATACATTACGTTTTTTTTCTGATTCCCTCAAATCAACGCCAAGTGCAATTTTTATATCCCTTTACAAAAAAAAAAAAAAAAAAAAAAAAGATCCGAATAGTATTTCAAAGTTTGTAGCCTCTTGTCTGCAAAGTATAGATAATCATTTTCTGATCCTATACATTTTTATAGACTGCTACAGGTAAGCGAATCAAGTCTGTTTATTAAAAATTTCAAAGGCTAATTTCAGCAAAAAATAACTCGATCTCGGACAGTCCGAGTCAATAAATAAAAAGGCCATCAATCTTTCGAGGAGGCAGAAAAAAAAGAGGCGAAACGAGGATAGCTCAAATAGGTGGCCAAGGGTATCAGTTTAAGCACCTATGTAGCTCGGTAAGATTGATATGTATGAAAGAAATGGTTTTTATGGCACAAGAAGAAAATTCATGCGTGACGGATGGGCTTGTGTATATATATATGGCTTTATTTA